ATATATATATATATATATATATATATATATATATATATATATATTCAAATTGTAATGATAGCTTCATCAACCAGTAGTTTAAGAAAACTCCTTTCTTTTTTTTTTATTCAATTACGAGAACAAGTTGAAATTTTAGCTGTTTCTTAAAGTACGCAATGTTTCAATCTCAAAATACAGTTTGAGTATAAGACCGAGCAGAAAAAAGGAGTTTGGGAAAGTAAAATGCACATATTGTCAAATAACATTTCTAAGCTGCAGTTATGCCTTAATAAAAAATTTGACATTGGAGAAAAAACTGATAACAATCCAAATAATGAACAATGTATACATTTTTGCACATATAAAAAGTAACTTCATCCATATTTCATATTCATACTTGTATCGTTTCAAAAACAACTTTTGCTTTATATAAAAAAAACAAATCACCATGCAGAGTTTTGTATTTCAACATCGGGCTAAACAATATAGCATTTGACAAATAACACTAAATAAAATCTCCATTCTCTATGTGAACGCTCTAAGTACAACTATCTTTAGGAATAAATGAAAGCTCATGTCTGTTGGACTCAACAAAGACAGTCAGAGTGGCACTGACATTTACATTAAATACAAAGACTCCCCCAGTGCTCAAGGATCACATCCTCTGATTCAGGCATCATCAGAGTCCTCTTCCTCTGGTTGGTAGTTTGAAGATGATGACTTCAGTGGGACCGAATCAAATCCGTCTGATGTTCTCTGCAAACACAGTGATAATGTTGTGAAGGGTAATCTGTCTTCTTAAGCAGCTCATGGTAAAGTTCACTGAGGGGATTACTGACCTCTCGTGAAAAATACTTCATTTTGGTAAAGAAGGATTTCTTGGTGAGGTCCATAAGGTAATCCTCCGCATCCTCGCCTTCCATGATTGCACAGCTGTCCGCAGTGGGCAGCTCACACTCTTTACCCCCGGACGTCATCATTAACCTGGAGTATTTATACTGCAGCCTACAGGTGGGAGAGGAGTGGAATGACATCTCTGGCATGATCGCTGTTTTTGCAAAAATCTACGGATCAGCTGTTGGAAAATGGAATAGCAAAGGACAGGGGGCTTACTTGCGTGTCTTTTTCCAAAAATAACAGCTAATGCTGATGAGTAGTAGAGCAGCGATCGCTCCTATGGAAACACCAAACTTGAGCCAGAAATCCAGAGTGACACAGGCGCTGACTTTTTGAGTTGGTAGTGGCTCTCCTCCATAACACTGCAGAGGCTGCTGCCACACATAGGTGGTTCTCTGTGACACAAATAGTCAGATTTTCCCCAGAAAGTCAGTTTACTACTTGAATTCTTGAGACTGTTTCAATTAATTTCATTTGAGGGGGTGGAATGAGTTTTAACAGTAAGTGGGGAGTTGGGGAGCACTACCTGTATTCCCTGGATACAAGCGCTGATGATCTCTCTGTAATGGGTCTTTGTGCAGAGAGGACATGCATGCTGGCTCTGCCACAGGAAATGGAAAGAACAACCATCACACGTCCCCTCAGAACAGTTACTGTGAAGGAAACCCAGAAGAAGAAGACCATAAAAGATCCATTACAGAAACATATTTAATAATGATAAAAACATATCTCATTGTAATATCACATGCATTGCCAGATGGTCTGCTTTATGACTATTGAGGAGCCATTTATACCTATTAGCACAGTGGATCTTTCGCTCTGGAAGAATGACTACATTACTGTCATGTATTGTCCAGGTGCTTGATGCAGGGGTGGGGACTGAAATGCTGAAATCTGACTGTCCCGTAAATCCAGGATAGTAAATGTGTGAATGAAAACAAAAAACAATTGTGGTCTGCCTGAGGGTGCATGGAGGTGCGGTGGTTTGCAACCTCACATTGCAGGAAGAGGGTTTTCAGTTGAAATCCAAATCTCTGACCTTTTCTTGGTGGAATTTGCATTTTGGGTTATTTGGTGATTCTGAAATGACTGTAGGAGTGAGCCTGAGCATGCATGGTTGTCTGTCTCACACGTTTCTGTACAGCCCTTTGATCGACTGGCTACCTGTCCAGATTTTATCCTGCCTTTACTTGCAATAAGCAGGTATAGAAACTGGATGGAGGGATGAATGGATGCTATCTCCAACCAGAAGATGCACCAACTGTACCCACTAGGGACTCTCCACAGAGACACTTTCCAAAGCTTCATCCAGCATAATATCTGATAGCTGCTCAAAACATGTCCACCGTCACACAGTAGGACCATGAAAAGATCCAAATATGCCGTACCTTGGGAGTGCGATTTGGTCTTTAGCAGTAACTGTGGGGTTGCATCTGAGTCTGATGGTGGCTGACCGTCCTTGTTTACAAGCCTGAGTTGTATCGCTGGACCTGGAAAGGTCAGAACATCACCATGACAGAACATGACAACCATTGCCATTTAATTATCAAAAAATAAAGAGAGCAGTTATTCGTTAAACTCCCATTATCCAAATGGCCAGTGTGCCAGAAAGAATCAGCATGTTTGAACCCCCCCCCCCCCCCCTACTGTTACACTGGCAGTGGTTCTCCATTAGTTATAGTGCACACGAAGTAAACACTGGTATCCATATCGTTATCTATGTTTTGCAAACTACTATGTGCTAAACACAGTTTCCACTAAGAGTCTAACAAACTAGGATGGGGGGCTTAGTGAAGTGAAAGTTTTTAGTTTTTAGTTTTTACTTGTAGTAGAATATGACATCTGGAAGGCTTGATGTTGAGGAGAACAACCACGTTGGGGAGGTGACGCCACCCAGGCTCGTCTTAGTGGTCACACCTTCAGAATGAAAAGATGTGGTGCATCATTATGATGGAACAGAAACACGGTCTGAACCATCATTAACATAACATTTTCGTTAGAAAAGGCCTAACTGATTTCATGGCAGAATATATCTGCAAAATCTGAGCTAAATGAAAAAATATGTTAATCAGAATATGCGGGTCATTTGAGTTGGAGGTTAGATTTAGTCATTCTGATCCCAGTCTCTACATTCCATTCTGAAATATTTCCATAACATTGACATTTAGTCTAAATGCACATTTTTTTATCTTTCCAATTTAATCTCCTTTTCAATCTGGTTCCCCAAAAAAATAAGGAGAAACTAGTAGTCCATACCGATGAGTGAGTCACCAATGATGAAAGGCTGGGAAGACACAATGCTCTGACTCCTGATGTCCGAGGGAACCGCAGTGGACTGACAGATGTAACCTTTGACCACTCTCTCCCTCTCTGTTACATTATCCACGCAGGAGGCTGGCACGCGACTCTGGGAGGCACACGGTGATGCAATATGTTTATCAAGACGGATGTCACAATAGGAATATGCTTTCTGATCCCAGGTTTCTCACCTCTCCCCCGCAGAGTCCCAAATTAAAGCGCTGGAAGTACCGCAGGCCTTTGTTGGTGAACCGGGGGCTGCTGTGGAAGCCGGTGACATTGCTCAGAGCAGTGAAGTCGTAGTGCAACACCCCCCCTCCTCGCTCCTGAAGGTCCACCGTGCAGTCACTGAGACAGGCTGTCTGAGCCTGCAGAACCAGGTCAGGGAGTCAGCAAGTGTGTTTACATGCAGATCATATTCTGTGTACAAAAGGTGGAACAACAGTGATCTGTTCCGCTGATGTTGGCCGACGGCGCATCTTATCAAATCCTTTTTCTTTTTTATGATTTTTTTTTCAGAACTTTTGTTAAAAGATATTTCTATGAAGATTTAAACTAAATATAAACACACAAACATATGTATGTATATATATATATATATATATATATATATTTTTTTTGATTTAAAAACTGTTTTATGTGAGAAAAAAAAAACATAAACTACATTTTCGAAGTTCTAAAATTACTCAATACCTTTAGGACTACAGTAGTTTTTTGGTGGAGTTTGGTGTCTTACATTGTTTCTCCTGGTGTTTGGTCCACACTGAACACAAGAATCCTTTCCAACCGGCTGGCCGGTCCTGATGTAGGTGTTTGGCGGGCAGCTCTCACACACTCCTGTCGTATTGACCATGTAGTGCCCCCGTGGGCAGGGGACACAGGTGGGGTCGGCCTTATCAGGCGTCAGAGCACAACGACGGCACTGTGAGGCCACCCCTCCGATCACATTGGTGATGTGGACGGAGTAGATCTTTGCGAAGTCAGCACTGTACCTTCTCTCCTGTGGGAAAAAGAGACACACAGGGTCATTTGCCATCCATTTCACACACATTTTGTTGTTGCTTACTCAGCTTAAAACTACTGAATTATGCACTCTACACATAATGATAAAAATAATTTAAAAAACAGAGAGTGGAATGTGGTCTTGCAGCTCAAGACTGCCATCTATTGTACCAAAGAGTCATGGTTTTGGGACCAGTGTTAAACAGTGCTTTCGGTAAAGAGGAGTCCTATGATATTCTGGGCAAACATGAGAGCTCCAACAGCATGTGACAACAGTTTTCAGAGGTAGCTCTACAGCTTTTATGATATACTGTAGTGCTTCCTCTTCTTGTGCCCTCTAACAAAAGCCCACATCCTACGACCCTTTACACAAGTACTATATCACCTCCATGTGCAAACATATTGCATCACACCTACCGTAGCGTCTGCTAGTAAAGATAAGAATATGTGTGGAATATAAAACAATGCGCTGTCAGACGTGGGACCGTGGCAGAAGGTGGAAAACCAGCCGTGACAGCTGACTCACAGTGCTGAATTCCTCTGTCCGTTGGAACGTCCAGGTGAAGCTGATGGTGCTGTTGCTCTGAATCAGGTAGGAGTATGACTGCTTCCTGTTACTGCCTTTCCACTGCTCCACCACATTGTTATTCCATTTATTATAACCCTGCGGGGAAATACTGACTTTATGTATTCATGTAGTGTTGAACCAGCAGAATTCAAAAGATAAAAATGAATGAGAAAGTCTTTTTTACCGCCAGGAAGTAGAGCTTGCAGTCAGCGGTACAGGCAGTCTCAAAGACAAAGGTAATGCGAGATAGTTCACTTTGTTCGCTGTCTTTGGTCATGGATTGAGACATCCTGTAACACAAGGGACATTTTCTTTCATGTCATTACATTTCCTCCCACTTACTGATCAATAATGGGAAGTGAGAGAACAACATTTGCAACATAATAAATATACCAGGATAATTTTACAAGTAATTCAATGAAGGTCTGTCTTCACCTGTATCCTGGGACAGTGAGTGTAAGCATCAGGTAGTCAGTGTCCTGATCTCCCGGGGTGGTGTAGACATAGTCACCAGCTACTTCCCATGCTAACAATACAGAAATTCAATGAATACGTACAAAATGTGAGGGGGGAAAAAAGACTCTAAACAGTTAGCGAAATAAGCTTTCAGTCTGATGCATCTTTCTGCAGCGATCTGTCCTCACAGTTTGTTAAACTCAACTCAGTTATTACAGTAACAAATTATTCAGCAATGATATCCTGATTCGATGTCTTGCCTCTATTGCATGCTTGTTTTCTGATATTAAGACTCTCACCTGTGCTGTGTTGCGAGTCGCTGACCTCTAAACGGAAGACGGAGCTCTTCATGTTTCTTGGCATCGCATTCCACCATTTGTACTCAAAGCCCATCACTGGCTCTGTGCCAACGGGGCACTCAGTGCAAACTGTGAGTAAATGACATGACGCGGTCAGGATGTTTGGGGATGTTTAATAATCGAAATAATCCAACACGTTTTAATCCATCTAAAAAAAACATGCATCTTTTATGTTGTAATTTGCAAACAACCTGAGGTGGAAGAGAAGTCCAAAAACTGTGGAATCACAGGCTGCGTACATTGAATGTAAGCTGTGTTGTGTGAGTTTAGGTGGTCATGTGTTTCCGTCCACTTTTTTTTCACTGTCTGTAAGCTATTTCATCTGTAGCAACATGAGTAAACCTTCAATTAAATCATGACTTTCTATTTAGTAAGTAACACCTTCTGTGATACATTATTTACCTTTCTCTGTGGAGTTTTTTTTATAGTGAAACAAATGCATTAGATTAAGAAAAAAAAAAATCTAACTCCCCACCTGTTCCATTGGAGTAGGAGCCTTGGCTGCACGGTTCACAGGTGGAGTTGGTGGAAAAGAAGCCCGGGTTACATGGCGGGCAGGTTTTTCCCTCCCCCGATGCTGGAAGATTCACTGCCCCCTCTGCGCTCTCACTGCAGATCTTGGGCTCTATCCACTTGTACATGAGCTGAGTCTGAGATACACAGCAGCCACGAGTCAGTGTCTCTGCTGCACAATGCACCATCTGGAGACGGAAACCTGTCTCTGCTGAGCAACTTTGTACCTTTCCCTCAGAGTCACAGGGGGTGTGAGTGTAGAAGTAGTCACTCGTCGTACATGCAGGTCTGTCTTTGCAGCTCCCTGAGCCAGGCTCTGTACACATGAACGGCAAATGAACTCACAGATGTGAGGGAAAGCACGAGGCTCACATAAAGATTCAGAAACAGGAGCTCTCGGTAACCATTTAGGCAGCAGAGCCCTTATTTGCATGCTGACTGCATGAGTGGAACTAAATGCAAACATGTAATGACTGTGAGTCTACAAGAATTAGTTGTCCATGATAACAATTGCTGTTCGTTTTGTATGAATCACAAAAGCAAACAGGCCTACCAGCGTATTTGTCTTGTTCACACTCATGGCAAACAGTGGCGCCCTTGTTGGAGAAGGTATCAGCGGGGCAGGGAGTGCAGCGTGCAGATCCTGCTTTTACACTGTGGGTGCCAGGTTTGCAGTGGAAACACTCAGATGTGTAGGCCACCCCTAGTAGAAAACATAAAGCAGGATTAAATCATTGATACACTAAGGTAGCAGGGGAAGAAAAGCATTTTTAGAGCACAAAACTCCAGACATTATTGTACCTGAGACCTGGATGTTTCTCAACAGCACAGGTTTGACAGCAGTCTTCTGCAGAGCATACGCTGTGGTTCTCCAGAACAGCACGTTGTTGCCATTCCTCAGCTCAGTCTGAACAGTATCAATGTGAAAACACAAGGACATTGATACAACCAGAAGCAAACCGCACGCGGTGTGAAGCTGAACCCTGACTGGGACCGACCTGGTACTGGCTCCAGTTGCTCTCTGAGATCTTCATCAGCCTGCTCTCAGAGTCTGTGGATTGGCACTTGTCGTTCTGGACCTGCAAGAGGAGAAATGTTTGCTCAGTATTGCCGTCTGCATGCTAGCATCAGGCACACAGCCCCAGCACTCACAAAGAACTCAAAGTAGATGCTGCCGTCCGGGTAGAAGTATTCGAACGACAGAGTCCCCGTTTTTTTCAGGCTCACGGCGTAAGACAGCGTAGCAGTGCACTCGTCTGTGTTTGAAGCTATGTAGTCACCCTTTGGCATCCAGGTGGAGCTGCAAAAGCACCGTCGGGAGAAAAGGTTGGATGTCAGGAAGCAAAGGAAGGAAAAACTTCATAACGAAATGAGTGAGTGACTCTGCACACTAACTTGGAGCAGTCTGTAAAAGTATCCCCTTCATTATTCGTGACAAAACCCACTGGCAAGCTGTCCCACTCTTCAAAGGACACGCCGGTGCCCAGAGAGTAGGTCCCTGCAGCACATTTCTGACACTGCTGCGACTGCATGTCCAGGAACTCCCCCTCATTACAGGTGAAGGCTGAAGACAGAGCACCAAAAGGGTCGAAATCCAGTTGCTGAATAGAAACACGCACTTGGCATTGCAGCTTTGACACAGATGGTTACTTACTGCAGTCCGTGCCTTTGACTGGATCTGGGAGGCCCGTGCACGTGTCCGCTTTGTTGGGAACTGCCACCCTCCATCTTGACCTGAGTACGTCACACTCTGTGTACTCAAAGTGATAATCTGACTGCAGGGCCAAGACACAGGTGTGACTTTCACACAGCTGAATAATAAGCCGCATTTAGTACAAAAAGCAAACTGAGACAAAAAGAATAAATACACAATAAGGAAGAAAGAACCAATCGGACTAATACACATGGTCAGGGTTTTTTTTTCATTATTTGGATTTCTTGAAAGTTCACATTTTGATCGTTCATGTTCCTGATTGTGAAACCATTAAAATGGTTGTTTTCCAACAACCAACACAAAGCCTTATGTTCATTGGTGAGTAAATAAGGAACAAAACTTCTGAATTTCAGAATCTGGAACCAAAAAGAATCAAACTACATCAACTCAATTGAAAAAAGAAATGGCACAGTTAGTAAAAATGTATCACTGGGTCATTGTATTCAACTGAAGTTGAAGTCCCTAATATCAGCAATGGAGGCCCCCCTCCACTTTTTTCACTTATCAAGGATGAGCTGTGGCCTCTCTATAGCCGTTGGGGGTTATTTACTAAGCTAAGGGGAACGATGCTGTTTAGTCTTATCCTTGTGTAAACATTTGATTTCTACATCTTCACAGACAGCATGAGAGCAGGTGTGATGTTTCCTCTGTGCCACTGCAGCAGGTGACTGGCAAACATCGCTCCACCCGAAAATGACCTACTTTGAGAAAACATTCGAGCATCATTTAAAACAACTGTTGTTGATCTAACACTTTCCGAAGCAATCCATGAGCACTGTGCTCCCTGTAATCTCAAGGTTTGGTTTCTGGTCAACAACAAGGTGTAATATTCCATGGAAGATCACTTAGCAGACCAATCCAAGCCCACACACAGCTCTGTGGGATTAATAGTTAACAGAAGCAAGGCCACAGCAGCAGCACTTCACCGCCTCTGGGCTTTCTGTTGGAGCTCCCACATTAGCTGTGTTTAGAAATTAATACGGGTCTGAGCAGGAGGATCTAATGTAAAAATGCAACAAACCTGAGATGCACCTCAGCTTAATCACTTCCTTTAAACAAACATGAGGAAACCAAGGCAACAGGACATCATGACAGCTGTTGTTCACGGCCAAAGAATTTAGCCTGGAAACAATTCACCTGTTACCAAAATTAGAATAAAACCCTCTTTCCCTTCCATTTCCCTCTCTGTCTTTCTCTATATCGCTGAAGTTGGGTTCAAAGTAAGCTGATAAAAAAAGACAGTTTTGACTTTTATCAAAAGTAACTGCTGTTATGCAAATTGGAAACAGGGTGAGGGTGAGGGGCACGCACAGAACACTGCAACATATGGAAGCTTGAATAAAACGGGAATCTGATCGCATGACCAGTCACACTGATGGGAGCAGACTGCAATTCAAACTTTGAGAAAGCTTTTTGTTGATTTATTTTTTAATAAAAATAAAGGAAAAAAAGACTTCTAGTAACAAACTGAGGTTTGACTTTGTTGAAATATAAATGAGGGAATAAAAAAGCGATTCAGAGCCTTGTTAATACACTGTCAAATACATATCTTAAACAAGTCAAATGGCCATAATCTATACGTTTTAGTTATTATCAGGGCCAAGAACGTCCACATCAGACATCTTATGCATTTACTCTTTTATAACATGGCAAAGTTTCCAAAATGTTCTCATTTTGAACTAAATAATCTGAGCATTTTATGGTCAAGAATGCAGTTCAAATAATAATTTATCTTGTTAACAATAAAAAATAATCTATTGCTACAGGTCAACTACAGGTTGATTAAATGTAATGTTCTCACCTCTTTGCACATGGGCAGTTCGGCTGATGTGGAGACAAACAGCAGCCACAGAGCGGCCACGCAGGGAGCGGAGTGGCCCGGCTGTGTCAGGCCCCGCCGCATCGTGGAAATGCTGTCAGACAGGGCTGGAATGATGGACACGGGGCAGCGGGATGTTGACCTGCACCCTCAGGTGCTGCCTGCGCCCTCACCGGGGGGCGGGGCCGCTCCCTCAGCGGAGGGCGAATACTGGGACGCGATTGGCTCCCTCATCCTGTGAGCCCCACAGTGGGTCCAACGTGTTTGAACCGGACCCGTCCACGCGTGACAGCTGCAGGTAAACCCCGTGGATATCTGATAAATTAATGGTAGCCACGAGACATAGTACGAGATGTGGAATGAACTTTAAATTCGAAAGAATTGCGTCGGAACCGGGGCTTCACCGGAAGTTTGGTGTTGCCTAGAAACCGAATTTGAAATACGGCAGGGGGTACTTTGAGGGATTTCGTGGAGACAGCGTGAAACGTCTTTGCGTGTGTTCGCCTCCTTCAGAATGTCACGCCGGGATCCTTACCCTCCTGCAAAGTTTGAGAACGACTTCACTCTGAGTGGCATCAGGCAGCAAGAGGTGGGCCAGCAGTTACACGCAGACAGCCAAAAATTTGAACCATATTCACAGTCGACCGTCCAATTAATTTATTCAAATATATATTTTTTTCATTTGGTTCTTTGGCACAATTCACTCTAAACTTCAACAAATGAAAAATTACTTTGTTTCCCATGTTTTAAGATTAAGGTGTTGGTAACCAAATATACCTTTGATCTACATTTGTCTAGGAATAGATTAAAAGTGTACACTAGGATTAAACATTCAACCAATTATGAGATGTGGCATGTATCTTTGTTTTGATGGGAATAACAAAGTGCATATGTCCACTTTAGGAGACTGGTATTCTGATGAATCATTGCTCATGATTTTATTAAATCTTTCAGGAAATGTCTAATATTTACAAAGAAAGCCTAATGCCAGGTTTAAAAGTAAAAACTGAAACAGGATTACGATCCATGGTAGTAATGCTGTTATGCCCCTCAGGAATTTATCCTGAAAGTAGATTTTGTGGTTTATTAGTAGATGGTTCCCATCCCCAAACAAAGTTACAATGCAAATACCACAAACCAGTTTTTACAAAGTGTACCTGAGGATTTTAGAGGCCACTCCCTGTGGGTAATCTGGTTTCAAATGACCGCGTAAGAGTGTAGAGCAATTTAAGTCTTCAAAATGGGAGAATTAAATGTATATTGAAGTTGCTGTTAGAAAATTATAAAATAAACTGCTCTGTTGTATTTTGTGTTGTCTTTTTTTTGGGTGATTTTAACTCCCTGCTCATTTGTGCTGGTTATGCTGTTATCATTGTGCATTAAAGCTGAGTAAAGTAATTTGATCAACTGTTTTTAAATACATAAGTTTTCTTAATTTAGTGTTGTGTATTTTACTTTCATGTTAATATGAAGAGCATTTCCATGAGGACACCAATGTGTTTCCTTAAATACAAGTCCTGGATCGCCTGCGACGTGAAAAAGCTGCTGAACATAACGACAGAGACTAAAAAGGAGACTGGGGGTTACAGGCAACTTTGGTCTGGAAGACATCCTGGGCAATTCTAACCCCTAAAAAAAGTCATGCATCTCAGTGACCGCAGACCAGTTGCTCTAACATTCCATATCAAGAAAGTCAAAGAGAGACAGTTGTTAGCTCCCTTCAGTCTGCAAGTGGAAGCCTGCAGTTTGGTTATTATCCCGGGGTTGGTGCTGAGGATACACTCAATCTGCCTGCCTCATTGAGTTTGCTCTCATCTGTTCAAACTGGCAGGCTTTTAATTTCTCTAGTGGTTTTAATACGATTCTGACAACACTTTTTAACTGAGAAGCAGAAGAAGTCAAATGTTTTGTTGACTCCTTCACAAACAGCTTGACTGAGGGTTTGTGTGTCAGAGAGGGTGGTTTTTAGCAGAAACCCCCCACAGGGGGACCAAACTCTCACCATTTCTCTTCACTCCATACACCTCAGACCTCATCATTCAGTGTGTTCAATCTCTTTCATCCGCATGTGGTGAGGAGTGCCATCTGCCTTGCAGCCATGTCTAACAGAAGCAGCATGAGAACAAGAGACACGAAGAACAACTAAGAGATAAAGAAATTGCCTCTGGTGAGGCTGTGGGGGCATCTGGAGCTAAATAAACACAGAAGACACATCAGAATGGAATAGTTGAGGAAAATCAAATGGACATATTGGATTGTACATACTCCGGATGGCAGAGTGACATATGATCATATTGTTAAGAATATGAAATCATGTTGAGTGAAGTGTGTTGGATCTATTGCTGTTACATGTTGGTGTATCTAGGTCACAGTAATCCCAAGAGCTGGCGTGCATGTCTCCTGTTTATTTGCATTAGTCGACGCAAGTTTCTTTGTTGAATTAGTTGAACTTTTCTTCCCCTGCCGTGCAGAGAAAAACGTGTCCAAAACCGAGTCACATTGCCCAGACAGAGGATCCCTGGAGACACCTCCATCACACCCCCACTGTGGCCAGCACCAGACGGAGCGCCGAGCACAGGGAGCATCAGGTCAAATACCAACATGTGTGCAAGATATAGAAATGGTCCCGCTTATTCACTGGAGATTTTTCATTTTCTTACTCTCAGGCGCCAAACAGAAGTCTCGACCTCGCTCTGAGCGCAATCTACGACCACCACAAAGACGTCTTCTGCAGCAAGAGTCAGATCATGTGCCAGCAGAACACCGTTTCCGAGGACCAGAGGTGAGAGATGCACGATCTGGTGCCAGTGGTGGTTCAGGTTTTTGTTCAATTACGGCAATTTGTGGTTTGGTCATTTTCAGGAGAAAAGCTGACTCAGAGAGGCAGGACGTGTTGAAGAAGGAACAACAGAATGGCATCATAATGTGGGTTGACCCAAAGAAGCGCTCAATTCACAGCATCGACTGATACGCGGGGGAAATTTGGTTCAACCGTCGTAGCCACATTTCAAAACTAAAACTCTCACTTGTGTGTGGGAGCTGAGAAATAAAATGTTGCTTTGCTACAAAATGTCAGCCTGCTGCAGAGGGTTTTGAAAGTCAAATTGTTTAGTCAGCCTGTGCTCCCCACAGTGGATGAGGAGGGCCAAAAAATAAGGCCCCCCATTACAATAAACACTTCTATAAATAAATAAATATTTTTTTTCAAAAATATCAGCCATACCTTTACCTATCGAGAACACGATTGTCTTCTTAGGCTTAATACTTTTTAAAAAAGAGCATTTTTACCCCCAAAACATTTTTTTAAATATTTACAACTGAAAAATTATATGTCATCAAAACTGAAACGAATAGTTGACATTCCACCCTTAACAAAAATAGAAGAGGTGTGTGTTGGGGACTCAAAAGGGAAAGGTTTTCTTTCGATGTTCTATAATTTGTTGATGCTTTCCTCAAAGGATTCAGCAATTGATAAGTTAGAGGCTTGGAGAAGCGATACTCTTGAAGATATCGATGAGGAAGACTGGAATCAGGCCTGTTTAAAAGCGCAAAAACAAACGATAAACACACGATTTAAACTTCTGCAATATAAATGGCTTATGAGAACCTATATAACCCCAGTTAGGCTTCATCACATGTCCAGTGATATTCCAGACACTTGCACTAAATGCTTATTTGAAAAAGGAACTCTTCTCCATTGTTTGTGGGAATGTCTTAAAATCCAGAAGTTTTGGAGGGAGGTTATTAGATGTTTATCTGAATTGTTTAAGGTTAAAGTTCCATTAGAGGTTAGAATCTGTGTTCTAGGAATATACCCAGTGGAATTTAAACAATCACAGACTAAAACTAAATTGATCGATTACGGACTTCTTCAAGCCAGAAGAGCTATTGCATTATGCTGGAGGAGCATGGACGCTCCATGCCTGGGATTGTGGAAGAAAGAAATCGCAAATTCACTCGGACTGGAAAGACTGACATACATCGCCAAGGGCAAACACCGGGACTTTGAGAACCTCTGGGAGCCATATATGAGGATCATAGGGACTGAAGGCGGAGCTCATTAATGGGTGTCTTAAATGGATATCTTGACTACAGTTTTTATTTTCATATTATCTTGTTTTTTTCTGTCATATTCTAAAGTGTTTTATATATATTATAACAAATGCAGGTTTGAAGGGTGAATGCGTGAGTGAATGCAAGTGTGTATAAATACGTGTTTACAATGTTAAGTTTGTTTGTAAATGTCCTAAAAGAGAAAATTCAATAAAATATATTGGAAAAAAAAAAAAAAGAGCATTTTGAAGTGTCGTTAGCTATACTGTTTTGTTTTTCATGTCTCTCTCTTAAACTGACAGGTGAATGAAGCAAAGAGCTTTTCTCTTAATATAATGATAATGGATTAAAAGCAAAGAGAGATTAAAGCATATACATTTCAAAGTTTAGGGTTCTACTTTCTGAAAACAATGTGCACTGGGAAACTCTAAAAAACAGAACAGTAATTCAGATATTTTTTTTGTTTTGCTTTATTTTGCATTTCTAGTAGATAACATACTGACATGAAATGAATAATCCTTCAAGGCAGTCCAGTAGTCGCCCAGCAGATGTATCGGAAATACAAACTGGGTCGAGACTCACTGGAAGACAATGTGGATCACCAGGATGTGGCAGTGTCATGCCGTAGCTCTGAAGCAGTCCACATCTTTAGACAACAGTTCTGAATCAAAAGATGATTCTCTTCGTAATTCTTCTGTTCCTTGGAACAGAAGAATTACAATGGTCCTGCTCTGCGGCGGCAGCCTCTGTGATGGTGTTGGAATCCTTAGGAGGGTAGTTGGTGGTGGAGAAGCAATGGAGGGTGGAAAGCAGCTTGTGGTTGGTTCTGATGGACATGAACTGGAGAGCTGTTGGAGGGAGCAGCGAGGCGGAGGCAGGAAGGATGGGAGGAATCCAAGGTTCTGGAAATTAACAAGGAACACAGATAATACTTGGTTCTCCTCAACTCTGCTGACCTAACAGGCAGGGGTTAATTAAAAGAGGGAATCCTAGTAAGTGAAGTTTTCTGAAATGAGACAAGAAATTACAGCAAGGAAATATAAGAGGAAGCTAAAAAGAGAGAACAAAACCAGATACACAACGAATGAAACATTTGGTCAGCCGGGCTGAACTTGGCACACAGGAGATCAAATCAAAAGTTAGCATGATTAAAATATACTTCAAATCACCCTCAATTCAAAGTCAATTCAACTAATGCTAGCATCTAATCTGTCTCATGTTTCTTTTTGTATTGTGTTCAAATCTGGTGCAATCATGAATACAACAACTTGGGATATTCGTTGTTGTTGTTGTTGTTTTGATGTGTTTTTGGGGATGTTTAAAACACTTGGTGTGTAGCGATGGTACTGGACTTTTAGTATGCTAAAAATGTTCAAAAAACAGAAAATAAATCTTGTCTGTTTGTCTGTATACCCGCAAGAGTCTAAATTGTCTTTCTGTAACATCAACTGGGGTCTATAATGTTTGTCATCTTAAAAAACTGTGTTTCAGAAAACCGTTCTTTCTTAACATCTGAGAGGTTTTTGGATGATTCTGCCTATAGATGACAGCATGTCACTGAGCCCTCGTCTTTCCGGTTTGAAAGTGGCATGCTCCAGGAAAGTTGAAATGATTATTTCGTCAGTGCTTGGGCCTTCGGACTCCAAAAAATCTGCCACAAAAGCAGGGGAGATCCAATATCCACAAAGGTCGCAGAAAATTTGCAAGTAGAGCTGTTTGATGCTGTGTGGGTCACCAAATCGTTCCTCTTTGATCATAAGTCCTTCCCTCCCAATTGCAGTCCAGATCTTGGTGACCAGACGGGTGTGGATTGCTTCAACGGTCTCATGACTGCAGGGACTCTTTGCTGTTCTCAGAACTTCAACAATCAGTTGCAAAACAAGCTGGCTTACAAGTTCCTTTTGTGGGTTTTTTGTTTTGTTTAAAATGCGTGCCTTTAAGGATCTATAGGCAACCACCAACTTTTTGTTTTGAGGGCTATTTTTGGCTTGTTCTTGTTCTTGTTCCGTTGTTGGCTGTAACTTTTCATACTTGTCCGGGTGAGTTGGTGTTTTTTCTGAGGACCTGAAGCTGAAGTTACTTAAAGTTTTCTGTAACTTCCCAAAGAGTCCAGGTTTCTTTGGTGTTTTCACAACGTGTTTTTTGAAAAGCAAGACAATCATGTCGTCGCATTCTTGGTTTACTGATGTTAGAGTGAGCATGACTTCTGAAAGGCCATATTTTTTGCAAAGGCTCTTAAAAATGATATTTTCAAGGTTCTTCATTTTATCAAAAACAATGTTGAAATCCTCTCCTCTCATAACATCCATCATTTTGTGATACATTCGCCGGTAGAAGGCGAAGAAAATGTCCAAAGGGTAGGTGACCTTAGCTTTTCTGATAGCCAGCGATAGCAGGGCCTTAAGAAGAGTGTGTACAGTCTTCTGGCATCTTCTTTCCTTTTCTTTTGAAGTCTGATTTAGTTTTTTCGTGGAACTTTCTACTTTTTGGGCGTTTGGGCTCATACTTCTGTTTGTTCCATCACTGCCCTTTCGGAAAGATCTCATAAGTCTGTTGAGCACAATGGGAAACTTTTCCTGTACTTTGGAGACGTACCCAAAAAAAGCACTGTAGCTCTTCTTTACATTCATGGCTGGTGTTCAAATAAGTAACTGTAAGAGAATTGAAGAAATAAGATGACTGAAATGTTCTGGTTAAGTAATCGAACCGAAGTATCAGGAGAGCAGACAGTGACTGAGCTATCCTCTTGAAGTGGAGACAATGCGTATCTTCTCAGGGTGTAATAAGAATATTCCGTCAGAGCATTATGACGTCAAACACATCAACCGACACACGTCTGAAGCCCCGCCCACGTTTTGCATAGCAACCGTCGTCAGGGCTGCGCTACTTTTCTGTCTTCGGCTTTGGTTGCTCGTTCCCCTCCACGGTTTTCCTGTTCAGTTTGAACCCTTTCAGGCCGTATACATCAAATTAGATACGTAGATTTCTAAGACCAATTGAATCATTATGTAGTCAAAGCTTCGTTTAAGCAGAATTGTCTTTATTTTGCATTTTTATTCAAAATGAAAATGTATAGAAAATTCGGATTAAATATTGTCTGAAAAACATGTTTGTTTTTTGGTGAAGAGTTAAAGACTTAAAATATATAAAAAGTATTTTTTTAATCCATTTATTTCTTTAGTCAGGCTTTGTAGGATTATGTAAGAAATAAGACTTTTTCTGCACTTTGAAAAGACAATCCACCATAACAAGAGAAGTAGTCTAACTTCTGTAGTTTTTCAATTTTAAAGATGAGGCACGTGCCAACATTGTGGCATCGTGGCCAGCATTTACCTATTAGACAATAATCAAATGTCTTTAAGTAAAAACATTTTGGTAACTGTTAGTAAACTCAGACCCTCAGAGAATTAAAGCATTTCTCTCCCTCTCCAGTGTGATTTTCAGGGTAAATATGAACTTATAGAAACAACATTGTTTTATTTAAATATATAAACGTTCAGATGGTATAAATACAAATATGTGCAAATAGTGAAGCGGCATGCTTAACCAGTTTATCATTATCCATCTCATTGGAGACAGATTCAATGACTATTATCTTGCAGCAACACAAAATCTATATGTTCCGTTTCTAAACAATAAGGTCCATTTTTATTGGTTCTAAATAGTCCAAGAAGGGTGTCAGTTTCTCCGTTTCCTGGGCCTGGTGGATTTATGCTCGGGCCTTTCTTTGGCGACGACGCTGGATGAAAGCCTTTGCGTCCCATTCATTGGGAGGAAGCATGTGAGGGCCGTTATGGACACACAGGATGGTCATCTCCTCCGCATACTGGAGATTCTGAAGCAGCTGCAGACAAACGCAGCAGGACAAGAAATTCAGGACATGTGGCACCTTTTGAAAGCCCAAGAGAACAATACCAGAGTTGTTGTTTTTTTCCTTTCACTTATTGTGCCAGCTGGCACAATAAGTGTGTCCAAAGGGGAAACACTTACTTTCGGTGTGATGAAGAAGTACTGGGAAGTTGTCTCCTTGCAGGCTGTCCGGACAACAATGTCAAAAACCCTCCTTTCATTTATGGGATCCATTCCCTGCAAAGAGAGTGATATTCACTCTGACTTAACATGCGAGGAGATACTCTTCAACTAGTGTTGGGGGAGAGTGTAAGGAAGTAAATAAATACATTTAAAAATAGAGAAGAAATCTCTGTACCACAGAGTGTAGTAAAAAATATAAAGCTCTTAAAAGTGATTATGAAAATTAAGTATTTGTCAGATTATTTGCATGGAAATACACTCTCGCTTCATAACGGCCTGGATGCAGGATATGAGATTATTCGTGTACATGTAAATTAATCACACACTGATTATTAACAGCCGATAAACTGTTATTCAATGAGACAAAAATATGAGATCTGATTTGGTTGGTAACGTAGAAAAAAACTCTTGCCGTTAATACAAATCTTTAAAAAGGCTAGATCCTTATTTTCCCCATGATAATTAAAGTAGATATAGCTGAGAGACAAAAGAAAGCTTATTTCAAACAAAAAGATGGCATAATTCATGAAAAGATGAAAAGACACTGTATTAAGGCATCAGTCTAACACAAAGGCATTAACTGGGCTGAAGCACTACCTGGTTGATCTCATCCACCACCCTGAAGGGGCAGCGGTTGAGCTCCTGCAAAGCCATGAGGTAGAGCATCGTTGAGACGCTCCGCTCTCCTCCGCTCTGATGATGCGGCGTCAGCTCGTGAAGCTGCGTGTTACTGTGGAACTTCACTCGAATGCGGATCCCGTACTTGTCGTACTCCTCCTTCAAAACGGCAGTATAATGGTTTCTTATTGAAATTGCAACAAATATGACTCAAAAGGTGTACAACAAAAAGAACAAAAAGCAGTGACTGAACAAGCTGAAATTCTAAAGTAAAGAAAATGGAGGTTTTGATATGAACTCTCAGATCAAGTAACGAGGCCTCTGGTTAAAGGCAGGTTGTACAGCAAAGCAGCCTTCCAGCTTTCAGACATTGTGTGTTTACCTCGCTCTCCGAGTGTAGATCGACCTCTCCTGCGCACTGCATGGAGCGAAAAAATTCACTGAACTTATCATTGATCTGCTCGACCAGGTGCTTCAGAGGGTTCAGCCAGCGTTCCTTAGCCTGTGACAGACACACACACACCTAAGTCCAAACGAACAACAGCTACTTTCCTATTAGAACATCAAACTTGCCACTTTGAGTGGAAACTCTGCAGTCAGATGAGAAAGCACCTCCGATATGTTCTGTCGGTAGACTTTCAGCGCAGCCGTCTTTTCCTCAAACTCTTTCTCCAGGAGTTTGATCTCGTGCTCTCTCTTGTTGTACTCTTCGACGACCTTCAAAGTGGGGAGAATTAACAGGACACACATGCCAAAAGAAATTGAGGAACCTCCCTTCATAAACTGCTGAGGTTTAATCTACACACTGTTCTGATTTTTGACCATATCAATTTTAGAAGACAGCCTTTAAATCAAGATTATTACTAAGGCAGGTCGGCAGAGAACTTTTAGATATTTAAGTACTGGGTCAGCACTTATGCTCCTACATTTTCACTGAGGCCGGTGAAGCACTCTGCTCTGGACCGCTCTTCATTCAGCATGGCGTCCACCTCCTCCAACGTGTCGGGCAGGTTGCTGAAAGCCTGTATTAACAAAACACACATATCGGAATCTATATAAAACACCATGGCTGCAAACAGGTCAGATTATCACAGCATGAACAAACAGTAAAGGATAGGGGGTGAGCAGGAACTCACATTCCGCAGGTCTTCGGGTAAAGTCTCATCCGGCTGCATCCTACAGACGGACTTGGCCCTCCTCAGCAGGCCCCTGCACTGCTCCGTCAGCTGCACCTTCCTCTGCTCCAGACGGCTGCATTTTTGCTGCATAAACAAGGCGCTTTAGAAGAAAAATGACCACTGCGCTACTTCTGTGGTTGTCCAAAGCGTGAGAATACCCACATCCATGGTCTTCAGATCAGAGGCGCCTTCTCTACAATCGTTCTCCAGCTTGCTCTTCTCTGCTGTCAGCGCCACCGTCTCCAAAGCCAGATACACCTTCTCCATTGTGAACGTGGCTCTCAGCTACAAAGAAATGGGAAGACTCAAATGAAAATACACAGCGAAAGCCCATACAAGCCATGACATCAGAGTGTAGAAGTTTAACATTAGCAGCAACGGCCAGCTAAACCACTGCAGTCATGACCGGGTTTTGGCTTTAAGTGTCTTGTTCCGTACCTTCATTTGGGCCATGAACGCAGCCACTATGGCCACCTTCTGGGAATTGACAGCCGCGATCTTTTCTTTAGTTTCCTCTTCAACCTTCTTCAGGTCAATGACATTCTGCTCCATCTGCTTTAGACTGCAGGCAGAGAGGGGGAGTCACACCATTCTCAACGTCTGCATAAACAAAACCAAACATCGTCCAGTTTTCTACTACCTGTCCTGTTTGGTGCTGATCTTCTGCTCCAGCTGTCTCCTTTTCCCCTTAAGTTCAGACAGTTGCTTTTTCTCAGCCAGCAGTTCGTTGTCACGGCGATCCAGAACGGCAGACTCCTTCTGCAGGACTTTCATGCGTTCACCGATGGCCTGCAGCTTTGTCTCACAGGCCTGTCCACAGCAGACAAACAATGTGTGTAGTGGCAAAAATCAGACTACGACTAAATATCTTCACATGGCATACATTTAGTGGAAAACCAGAGGCAGGATTTCTAAAAAATAAAAAAAGAAGAGAATTTGCTCTGATGGCTCTTTTTCACCTTCATCTGTTGCTCCAGATTCCGTTTGTCCTCAGCATCCACAGTGATGCTGAGGTACTGAGAGGGATGTAGGGCAGAGTTACTGGTGCTGATCTTATTGGAATAGAAGGACCTCTTCACTGTGTACCTCTCCTGGGTGGTATATAACACCCTGAGGTAAGGTTCCTCAATCACCTGCAAAATGTAAAAAAGAGGTTAAAATCTAGAACCATATGTAAAAAAAAAAAAAAAAAAGATTAGAAAAGAGGAGTTTTTTACATTTACCCTTCAAACTGTGACGGACATTGTAATGAGTGGATACTAATCAGTGATGTCTCTGACAAGTTGTTTCTCAAAAGTTTCTTCTTCTAACCTTGATTCTCTGCGGTTCTGCTCTCAGAGCTTAATTCACATGAATGCAGGAACATACCGTTTTGATCATGGCTTTGGTTTGGTCATTGCCCACTGGCACGTCATGCACCTTGTACTGGTGACAGAGGTAACTCATCACCTCGTCAGGGGCATCAAACATCTCGCGGAGGTAAGAGAAGAACCCAAAACGGCTTGAAAAAAAAAAAAAAAGAGGAAAGGTTAGTTTCACATGTGCCTTGCAGGTTTTTACTTCAGGTGGCTGTACCGTAACTTTTGAAACTTAAAATAAGGTCCAATCCAATAACGGGGAGTCTACATCAGAAAATCACATTTCATCTAATCTGGGTGATGTGACAGCTTAATAACAGACTCACTGTTCACAGTTATATGCAGTCAACTTAACACTGTTTAGCTGACACTAATGCCCAGGCTGATAACTACCTGATGCTTTTGGTGTCAGTTAGACAAATAAGCTACCCTTTTCCATTTCCCTGGCACTTCTCATCAAGTCCGATTTGACTGGACTGGATTATGCAAAGCAGATGCCGACCATTGAAAAGAAAACATTTGAAAACACAGCAAACTTCCCCTTAAATGAACCCGCCCTTACCTCAGAGACTCAATATTTCGAGACGGTGCGCGCCTGGAACAGGACTCCTCCGGAGCAGAAATAGAGTTCACTTTTAAGTTCATCCTATCACGCACCTAAGAGGCAGGAAAAGAGATTATCAAACTGTTCTGAATCAAGTCTGTGCGCAGGAGTACTGTATGCTGTATACTGTCTGCATCATCCTGACCTCAGCCATGAACTTCTCCATATCGTCCTTCCTCTGGAAGACAAATGCTCGCAGGTCGTGGAATGAGATGTGGTTTTCCACATACTTGGCAAAGCGATGATCCTTCACATTTATCTGTGGAACAAAGGCAAAACCTCATGGACAGCGCAACAACTGGCACTTGTGTCTTAATATATTTTGATCATTTTAATTCTAACATTACAAAGACATAAATTCTCTCCAATTATAAAAAAAAAAAAATCAGACAAAAAAATCCCTTAGCGCTGGGCTCTATTGCAATACAGAAACGTGCTCATAATGGATAAACTCTTGTTTCTCCATCCTAAATGTTTTCTAGAAGTTCCGCAATCACACTTCTATCTGTGCGCCTCACCACCAGCATCATGGGCTCGTGGACGTTTCCCATGAAGAGCTGCTTGTTCTGCCGGAGCCACTGCAGAGCAGAGTGTGTGTCTCTGTGGCGACCTCGCAGCTTCTCCTCCTTGGCATTCAACATGTTGTTCATGTCGTTGAGTTTCCTTTCCAACACTGGCAAACACAAACAAGCCCACATTTGCTGCACGTGCACTGACGTTTGGCATCATTTCGGCGAGGTTGCTGCAAACCCACTTCTGGACTCAGCAGTGATGTTGTCCCTCTCCCTGCGCAGGTCAGCCTTCTCCCCTTCGATCTTGGCTCTCTCCTCCTGGATGCGCCTCAGCTCCACATTAACAGCATTGATCCGTGGAGTTACATCGGGCTGGTCGCTGACTTTGGCGAGCTCGCCCTTCAGGTCTTCGATGGTCCGTCGGGTGTGGCCGATTCGCTTCTGGTGGTCTTCTTCCTCCATCTGCTTCAGCCTCAGCTTTTGCTTAATGTCGTCGATCTGCACAGAATTATGGGCAGCGGTTCATTACGCGCGGCTGTGAATGACCCACTCTGAGCTCACTGCTTTCTGTTCTTCTTTTTTGTTTTGGAGAACGTCTTCACCTCTTTGTGTTTGCGATCCAGCTGATCTTGCTTCTGTTTGCACTTCAGAGAGGCTTCTTTAATGGCAGCGGTCTGAAAAACATGAACCTCTTAATTATCCCTCAGCCTGGTATTGGTGTGTAGAAAAGAATGCCTAAACTTCAGATACATTCTAAAGATTTTTGGCTGCAAAAAGTCCCACTACAGAAAAAGAAAAGTCATTTAGTTTTAACCATAAGCCCGTGCTGTGGACATCTGTTTCATTACCTTTGCTTTAATTTGTGCCTCGGTGGGCTTCAGCTGGTCATCAATCTGCTGAATCTTTCTCAGCATGGGAGTCTGGGTTTGCCTCAGGGAGGAAAGCTGCCTTTTGGCCTCTTCCCTCTCCTTCTTCACACCCTCAAGCTCTTTACGGGTGGTCTCGTACTCCTGGCGCCACAAGGAAACAAACAAAAAGTCAGACGACTGTTATTTTCCCTTTGCCTGCAAACCTTGGCTTTTTTCTCTCTTTCCTGCTTGCACTATTTAGTGTCAAGGACTCACCACCCACGGTTTCTTCTTCTCGAGCAGCTCAATCACATCCAGATGTCTCTTCTTCTCATAGTAGCGATTTACATCGTGCTTGTTCCTCTCATTTCTCTGCTTGGCTTTCTCCAAAAAGTTTGCCTTCTCCTTCACAACATTCTATGGTGAAACAAAAAACTGACATGAGCTAAAAGGCTTAAAACAAATCTGCCCCTATGGGCACTAGTAAATAAATAACTGATAATAATAATAACTTCATACAAACATTTAAAAAGCCGTCAAGATGTTAAAGTTTTGAAAAAATATCATTTAAACACGAAGAATTCAAACGTTGTTCTCTCCATTCAAACTGTCTCTGCAGAGTGACCATTTAATTTCTTTACCTCTAACTCTCGTTCTTTGTTGCGGAAGTTTTTGAGCTCACAGTGATAATCGTACATCTCAGGAGGTCCCACTGACTTCTCGGTTGCTTCTAGAACTTCAGCGTTCGACATTTTGGCAAATTCACCAACTTTTTCCTTTGGGACGTGGGAAAAAACAAGAAAAAAATTAAACAAGTTTATGAAAAAGGAGAAAAACACAGTGACTTCACAGCCTGTTTCAGTAGCTGTGACTCCCGAACTGCAGCAGGAAGCTTACCTGTGGCAGAAACTGGCAGAGGTTGCTGACTTGGATGCGCAAACTTTTGACTTGTTCTTCTATAATTTTCTGACTGCAGTATTTTCCATTAAGCATCCAAAGCGACTGATTGTTCTCCACATGGATCTCTCTGTTAATTACAATATTGCCTTCTTTCTTGTACCTTCAAAAAGACAAACACCGAATGTCATTACACAATCATGGGTGATTCTCCTTAACATTGTTTCACTGATGTAGTATTAGCTGGTAAAAATATTTAAGCTGAGACTGAAAGTTAAATTTCCCTTCTGGTTTCTAAGCATATAAAGTATATAGTTATCATGGTGAAAGTGGCAGTGCGCAAATAACTTACAGCTTGATCTCAATAAAACCTTTATGGCACCCACGTTTGACATAGAGCCCAACCTACAAAAAGAAACAAAATAAAATTAACTGTTGCATGAGTGGCATCATGGTCCTTAGTGTACATGCATACTGTACAACGATGAGCAACAAATCTAACCAACAAACAACAGTAAAAGATGCAGATACCAATTGAGTGAGAAATGCCTTCACGGTGTCTGTTGCATTTAAAGTGCAGTGACTTGTGTTTGAGTTACTCTGACATTTACCTTGTCTCCTCTCCCCAGAGTCGCAGTCTTGCCTGCCAGACCCAGACAAATGGCACACACAATACTTGACTTTCCGGTTCCATTTGCTCCAACGATCATGTTTAAATTTGGTCCAGGATACACCACAGAGTAGTCATATGTCCTGTCAGTGTACAAAGCGGATATCTGAGGTTTACATGCTGGATTTTATATCAGAAATCCCACAATGTTTTTTAATACAGGTAAAAAGGTGAAGGAAGTAAAATTTCAATATACATAGAGACAGCACTGGCAAAAATCAGACTCAGTCATTTTAACAAGGTGCAAACAACGATCTGACCAATTAACTTAGAAATGACATTGAGTGCGAATTCCTAATAACTTCCAGTTTTGAGGACTCAGTAAAAATATGAATAAATGCACTTTCTCTTCTAATTCTTTGCCACTGCGCAAAAAATCATTAGACAATCAAAGACAGCGTCAGATTGCAAGCATGTGTGCTAGCTTGCCAGTCTAGTGCTACTTCAGGCTCCGTATCCTGTTTGTTTCGGTTTAGTCGTTGTTCTTGCCGTCGCCTGTCAGTTGAGGACTCACTTACAGGAAGTTTTTCATGGTGATGCGAAGTATGGAGCCCTCCACAAATCGACCTTCCCCTCCGGTTCCATCGGACTGAGTGTCTCTGATCTTGTTTTCTACGCTCGCTAATATACTTTGTGAGCTTCTGGTGGCCTCACCGAGTCGCTGTCTTTTACTGGGCTCCGCCATAGCGACAGAACGAGAAAAGCAAGACAACTCTCTAGTTCGGCCTCGCGCGCTTTGCTAAGTAGTTGCTTAACGCTGGTTGGACAAAATAGGTCACATGTATACACAAACGCTGAAGGTATCGTTAGTTATCGCGAGAAAACGATGTGTGCGAGCGGTACAGCACTCAATGTTTAAATGAATGCATTTATACAATATTTTTCTACCTTGAGTGACAAATCAAAAACGTTCTTACGCTGCATTCCATGCAACATTGGCACACACGTAGTATTTTGTAATTCTGTACATACTGTTTTGTACATAAGGACTTTCACGCAGGTCTGAAGAAACAGGGGGGGGGGGGGGGTGCAACCCAGCAAAGGTAAAAGCAAAAGTTACTCTATTAGATCACAGTTCCCTTTAAATTATGTTGGTAACTAAGGTGTATTCATTTAGCACCAGCATGAGAGTAAAGGAACACCAGCTTTGCTTCCCTTTAACCCACCTCTCAAAAAAAGCCCTTAAGTTGCTGTTTAAAGATTTTGATAGAGTAAAATTTTAAGGGAGGAAACTGGATGGCTTTTCTAATAGTTAGGAACAAAGGGGAAAACACTCAGTGACCTCATTACATAGTGTAAGTCAACACAATAGCAACCCCCCCCCTTTTGAGCACATAACCAATATTTTTTTACACCTTAATGGTTTTACAGTTCTAGACCTTAGAGATACGTGGACCAAATTTTTAAACTTATTGGATTAATACCAGAAACTGTCTGGCAGTAGTAGAAAGGGAAGCCCGGGTAAAATGTGTGTGGAATAGTTGCCGACTTGCCCAGTTGTCTTAACGTCTACCAAAGACTAAGTGCGTAGTAGACAATTGAGGAGAGTGAATTGTTTCCATAAGAAAGGAGAGTAAAGTTGTATCGTGGGGGCAGTTAACCTGAAAACCTTTCGAATTAAGAGGAAGCCACGCACAGTTTCAATTTAGCTTCGACGTTTCATTGTTATCTCCTACAAACACGTCCCACGTTTTGCCATCAAGGAGTGAAGTTACCATGACGACAGCAACGATTGGTTTCAGGACTTTATTTTAAAGTACTGATTTATCGAGAAAAAGGTGTTTTTCTTGATGTTATTCTAATTACGACCGGCCCTTGTGTTTGTTATAACTTTAATATATCTATATTCGAGTGTACCTAAACTAACGTTAGATCTGTGGTACGTCGGCCATTTACACCGGCTGCTCGGTTTCGTCCAGGGTTCCAGTTTGCCTCTCAGCTGTGGTTAGATCAGAATCGCCTCTTTACTCATTGTCCTTGGTTAAGCTAGAGGTAAACCTCAAGCTCACCTGAACTAGTATATCTGATCAATTCATCACCTCTGACCACAGCACGAAGCGTGGAGGCCCCAAGTGTATCTCGTCGCCGTGCTCATCGCCACTGAGGCTCGACAGCGTTTTTCCTATCATTTCCGATCGAAGAGAGCCAAACTCCAACCAGATCAAATAAGATCACTGTGTAGTTTTTTTTAAGAGTAATACAAGCACACCGACACACAAACACCACTCACTCAAGCACTCAACACACACTCGTCCATCCGTCCACATACACTCCATTCAAGCTATGAAGAGACCCGGTCTTCCGGATCCGGTTTAAAGGCAAAGGCCGAATGGAATCATGGGAAATATAGAGGGGCCAGCAGGGAAATGTCGACCTCATGTGGCCATGAACGGACCCCTGATTATTGATCTAGACGTGTAATATCAGTGAAGAAAACTTAATGAGAAAGGTATACTTTAAATGGGGATACTACACTCACTGTAAAGGTGATTTATATGAAGAGATCAAGGCTATCTTTTAAAAGAAAATAACCCTGAAAACAGAGTAAAGATGTAAAAATGTCAAATACATGTTTTGTTTCAACAAAGGGCCAGCCCCTGACCAAGCACACAGAGGAGAGGAGGACACTGCCTATAGTAATTAACAAAAAAGGAACAATTATATTAAACCAGCAGTATACTGAACTATATTAGTTAGGGCATTTTAGTTTTGCCTTCAGTGCCTTTATCACAATTTGATCCCACACTATTTTGGAATCAGTGAACAACTAAGACCACTAGTTAAAGGTAAAAGAGAAAACTGTAACAAAAACAAAACCCATACATTGCAGGTTACCACATGGGTCTGCCTGGAGTGGAGTCCGCTGGAAATTATGCCGTGCTACGTTCATTTTAAGCAGCATTTGTGTCTGTGGTAATTAACTAATCTGCCATCCAGTGCCCCGTGGGGGTTGTGAGGTAATCTTGAATGGTGTAATGAGCTTTCAGAGTCTACTACCACCACTGACCACAGCGAGGTGGCATTTTGAGTCTGTGGATGTCTCATAAACAACAATATGTTGGCCTCGGATGGAGCAAAAAAGCACACAACAGGCAGTCTGAGTGGAGACGTGTGATTCCTTATACAATGGATTAAAACAGGAACACTACTACTGGACAAAAACAGTGAACCTCCAGCATCCTGCTATGGAGGGGTCAGCTGTAAAAAAAGTGAGTTCTGCCAAGTTGTTTTCTTTGAACATTGCTGCTGTCAAGTAAGTAGGAGGGCAGGGTCGGGTGTAGTGATCATGTATCAGAGGTGTTTCTTGATGTTTGGCTAGTTTAGTGAATTTACATTCCAGTATTATATGCAATTCTTGTATGGGCACCTCTGCCTCATCACCCTCTTAAAGATTAGATTAAGTGTATTCATCGCTCATCAAAACCAAAACACGAACAGTCTATTAATCTTTAAGATGTACTAGTTTGTCATCTTAAACACTTAAATACAGAAGATTAAATGTTGTGTAACGATTTTATTCAGAAAAGAGCAACATCTTGGCACAAGCATCCATAGCATTAATATGAAAAGGACAGAGAAGATTCAAAGTTAAAAGGGGTTTTTCTTTAATCCATCTTGGCGCTGCGGGCGCTGATGGAAAAAGTAACCTCCATCACATCAGACACCGGGCAGGTTATCTTCCACCCCAGCCTCCCCGCTGGGGCCCGGGTGGGGACAGTGTGCGGAGGCGTACTGCATATTCGTGACAGGAACCGTGAAAGGCCCAATCCCCAGAGACAGAAGCTGAGGATCATTGGCCAGTCAGCGACAGAAACTTGGTCCTATCAGCTAGGCCGACTTTAAGACGGGCTGCTTAGAACAGTAGTAGCATGTACCATCTGCTCCCGGTTTATTGTGATCCTTTTCTTCAGGCTATCTCGTTTCAGTGGGTGTGGTCACGATCTCCGTTTGATTCTGTTAAAGACAATATTGTCATTTGGCGTTCCTTGGAGAGTTGCATGGATTTATGCGTAGCTGCTTCTTCATTACAAGTGCAATTCTGCTGGGGCTCTGCAGATGACAGTCACTCTCAGACCAGACCCTGCAGGTCAATGGAAGGATCAGAGAGGTGTTATGTAACCTTTGTAAACACTGTTCAGCTACTTAAGCAGCACTGCAAGGGACCATGACTCTTAACCTTCATCTAATTATAACCTTTTTCTGGTCAGTGGAAGATCAGACTAGGAATGCTTTGATAAACTAATTTGATATGCGGTAGATGACAAGCTTGTCTCATCATTTTATTGTGAAATTTCTAACCAACTTACAAACCTCTTTTTCCCCCTCATCAAATGTCACAGAAACCAGGATATGGACAACAGAAAAAAGGTACAAGAGATCTTGAAAATCTATTAGTGTCCATTTCAGTGGAATAGGCAAATATACAGATGATGCCAGATTGGGTCATTTGATTGATAGAATCTCCGATATATAGAACAGACACTTCCTTTCTGTTCTAATTCTCTGACCCTTATTCAGTTTCCTGTGTCCTATTTTTGTGGCTGTCTTCACTTCCTCCCCTGCGTCTCCATCATCTTCACTTCCCTCAGTTCCCCCCTGTGCTGGTTGCCTTCAGCTCCACTCCTTTCATCTGTGGTCCCTGTCGAAACTGCTCTTCAGTCCGTAATCACACTCCCTTCTGGGTCCTTTTGCCAGATCCTTCCTGTCACTTCCAGCCAGTTACTGGCAGCTTCCCCATTTTGTGTCTGAGTCTTACTTCCTCCTGTCCTCCCTGTTCCATTCGAGATTATCTTTGTGTTTCTGTTAGAGTTTAGGCATTTTTGGTTTTGTTCTTCCAGCTTTAGTTTAATGTTTTGTGTTCGCATTACTGTGCTTTTTGTGCAATGAGTGAGCGTTTTTTTTATTTAAAGCTCTTCGTTAAATGTTTTTTGGCCCTCCATTTGTAATTTTTTCTTATGAAAACTCCTCTGAATGAAATGTGACTTGTAGAAAAGCAATGGTTTAATAGCAGTATCTCTATCATTCACTGCAAAATAAAAAACAAATTGATATTTTGCTGAAAGCAATATTCTTTCTAAAAAATGTTTTTATTGATTTATTAATCAGACATCCGCAAGATATATATAAACACTTGATTGGCACTTTTAGGAAGTCTTCAGCATTTAGTCAGACACACACTGTCATGTTATCAGGTCTGAGATGCCAAACGCTGATACTCTTTTCACAGAGCTCCCTGTGAGCCAGCTCTCCCGGTCCCGCAGCTCTGCGGGCGACAGCAGCAGTGCTGAAACTGCTCAACCCAGGAAGCTCAATGGCTCCCCAGCAGAGCCGCCGAGCTGCCAGAACCTGCACCGGGAGCTGCTGCTCAGCCATAAACGGTACGGGAGGTCCTTCATGTCCTCAGCCACTGAAAGCATGTGGAGTCAGATTTGTGTGCCCTCAGTCACTGTGGCTCTGACTGCGTAGTGGCCTGCTGCTGGAAGAGAAACCAGAGCTGAAGCGGGTGCTGGAGCAGCGCAGGTTGGAGCTGCACAAGGAGGAGGAGATGGCACGCCGACGACCCTCTGACCTGGAGACGGAGCTCCGCAAGAGGCAGCAGAAGCTGGAAGAGGTCAGCACCACGTTAACAACTGGGATCAGTCTCTGAACATTTAGTTCTATCTTCTATTTCCAGATCTTTACATTTCTCACATTTGTTAAACTTGCTGTCACAGTGTTTGCTTGACTTGAGCTTTCTCTTTTCTTCTAGTATGAACAGGAGGAGATAAGGCAGCGGGAGAACCAGCAGAAGATCCCAGAGTTTGTCCGCGTCAGGGAAAATCTGAGGCGCACACAGACCTTCGAGCAGCCCTGAAAGCTCCCAGCAGCTAGAGCAGCCTCTCACCGTTGTGGCCCTAAATCTTCAAGATCACTGTCAACAGAGCTACACATTAGCGAGCGTCCTCAAGACACAAGTCATACTTCACATTTCTTCATGGATTTTAATCCGCATTTTGAAGTTTGTGTATGGAATTGTGCAAGCAGACCAACACTTAAGTCATGAGCAGGAAATATACGTGGACCAATTCTGGCTTAGAGAAAACTAACAAGGTTACGGGGCTGTTTTTTTATGTGTATTTTTTTTTATGCATTGAACGATCTCATTTTCCAGCAGCCTCCTATGTTTGATGTATTTGATGTAAGGAGAATTTAACTGTTTTATGAATAGGAAACATCACTTTATCATCAAAGCCTCATTCTCCACCACAATATGATTGTGAACAGAAAGATCTCCAACAAAACTATTTTTTTATCAATAACAATTCCCTCAAGATTCCAAATTTCCTAGTTTGTTTGCCTGTTTCTCACATGACTTTTGTCATTTCAAGTGTGTTTATCTGTGCTGCTGAAATAAAATCAAGGCTTTATGGTTTACAGTTGTGTGTTGTAATGCTGGGAACATTTCAAAGAGATGGGGAGCAATTTGCAGCCAACTCTTCTCCCTGAGGATTCCAAGTTCTTTCACGTGGATATAGGACTCTGTTTAATTAGCTAATCTTTTTATTCCATCATCGGTCAAGAGGAGAAAGGACGAGCCATCTGGTGGAGGCTTTTCAGGATATAGCCTATAGGCCAGGAATACCCAAGGGTCTGGTTAAGGCACTGCAGACATTCAGGAAAGTCACGGAACCCACTGGCTGAGGGCTATATCACTCTTTCAGTTCAATCTAGTTTATTTTTGCACCATGTGGCATACACTTGCTACACATAAGAGTAACACAGTTTTTTTTTTAACTACATAATAACAACAACAACAGTAACTCCCAAGAATTATGTGTATTACTATTGTTACCTTTTCAAATTGGCAGTGTAAGAATTTTCTGCATTAAATTGAAAAAAATCTATCATTTAGGAGAGATTGTTTATTGTTTCTAATATGCTTTTAATGTGAGATAAAATGATGTAGCGTTAGATGTTTTCCTCTTACTTTAGAATTATTATAAAGTTTACGGAATTTTATATCACATACCTAGTATTATCATATTTAGTCAGAGCAAGAATCCTTTACTCAGCACTGTTTAGTCACTTCACTTGACATATTACAGAGTAATAGCCAAAGATAAGGTAGTTTTGACTCGCAGGGAACAACATCATCCTACAACAAAGATGGTCCAGTAATGGACTAGCAGTTCAACCTTGTTCTTGCATCTTTCAGTGAAAAGAAACAGGGAATCAAAACAGCACTGGGGGGTACAATATTCATTTTACACATTTCAGTGTTTTATAAAAACGTTGAGTGCTTTTTCATCATCATGGCTAAAAATAGTTGGGGGTTTAAGGAGGTTAAAGAGGTTCTTCTTTTTTTTTTAGCCCCGGACCGACTTTTCTTCTTTTTTAATTAAACCCCCCCTTCTCATGGAGTCGCGTGCTGTGTCAATACGCAGAGCGTGTCTGAAAAGTCAGCAGCGTCGGATTAAACCATTGTAAAGTAGTCCGGTGGGGTTCGCTGGCAGCAAAAACTTTATTCAAAAGTACTGCGCAATACAGATTATATTATGATCGAGATTATAAGGCAACTATAAAACACAATAAGGCAAATAAATATATTAGTGTATTTTATTTGAAATATATGCATTTTCTACATAATGTATGCTACGGACCACCCTTCAAGGAAAGAGTGGAGTCGCCTGCAACAGATGTCCCGGGCTCTTTTCACACATCTGACTGGAGAAAGTCTCATCAAGTCCTCCGGCTTAAGAGAAGATGATGTAGAAGAGAGCACCACTTAGACTACGACAAGGTATGAGCCTTTCTTTAAACAAATGTTTTTTTGAAACAAGAAGTATAACCATGATGAATGTATTACGAGTTCTACAGACTAAAGTCATTCATATTTAAGGACAATCAAAATTGATCTGATATTTTAGTCGTGTAAAACAATAGATAACTTTGGAAAGCCTCATATAGTTTAGATATGAAAATAATATGTGAGAAAAGTAGAAGTCTACTGTTGAGTCCACTGCGAACTTTACTCTTCCATTTTATTCTAGTTTGTTTTTTGTTTTGTTTTTAGCAGAGTTTACTTAACTAATAGTTACAGTCAATTTACAAGGAATATCACATGTGTAACCAATCAGTTTGAATTGACGGTTAACAAGTCGTGTGTGTATATTTAACTTTAGCTCTGAACTGATCAGCTCTAATGTCAAAGTGTACCCTGGATGTAAACTTGTTGGAGGTTAATAATCCTGAAACCACTCTTCTTTTTGAATGCCTTTGAATTGTACACATTAGCTGTAAATGCAGGATTTTTAAAGACTTCAGATTTCTCTTGGTGTGTAATGATCAGGGCAGCTGTGGTGGGGTTGAGTCTACACGCAGACACATTTGGGTTCCAGGACAGCAGAATAAACTTATTTACAGCTGGTCCACATGTTGACAGACGAGAAGCGTTAGAGTGCTGCTGAGGACAACACCTCTGTGTTTGCCATTGTCCCCCCCCTGAGGTGCCCTCTTTATTCATCTGAGGTGGCTGTGTGAGGCTGTAAAGTTGAGACCAAATTATGGCAGTGACCTGAGATGAACATCGCTACCCATTCAGGGACTTAAAAGTGATTATACGGAGTGATGAGGTGGCTCGATACCCGGCCAGACCGTCAGCCTCCAGAGAACAATAAAGCCACTCTTCTTGCTTCTTGTCATTGGGCTGTGACAGAGATGGTGAGTCTCTGGCCAGCATATGGCCTCCGGTGACTGAGAGGTGACTGTCAGGGTGCTTAATTATTGCTGCTGGTTGTCTGTGCTTTGTCTTTGTTAGTGGGGCCTTGCTTATTTAATCATGTTAGTCTGAACAAATGTTGGTCAAGGAAAGAGGCTGGAAGTGTTTAAGACTCAGCTTTTGCAATGATGTTTTTACAGCCTCCCATCTTCATTTTGCCTCTGATTGAGAACCTATCAGGCTCAGTAGTCGTTCAAAAGGCAGATATCTAACTTAAGTGACTCCAGTTGTAACCCAACACTTCTTTTTTTTTTCCTCTCTTACCACTCCCCCATATTGATGTACTTTTCTTTCGGCAGCCCATATTGTGTACGTAGTGAATCTTTTCTGCTGAATGGATTTTGGCTTTTCATCAGACTCTGAAATAAAGCATGCTGTAAAGTTGTTTGGTTTTCTTCCATAGTATCAGCATTCACAGGAGAATCTTAATTACAGGGTTTCGAACAGGCCCCGGTCTGGTTTCAGGCAACCCTCACTGTTTCCTCGGTGAGTTTGGTCCCCGTTGGTAATTCCAGGGCCAACCACAGTGGTAATGAGCATGGCGGGGATGGCCGCAATCCAGAAGTACGCAGCTCTGAGGGCTCATGGGAAAGGGTGGTGGGGGAAGTCTGAGAGACAGTAAATCCACATCACGATCTCGTGCCATAAACATCGACTTCCTTCGAAGTTACGTGATCACAGTCCAGTAAACTGAGAAGATGGGTGGTACAGTCAGCTCCCATCCTCAAAATCTTTCAGGGCTGTCATCATTAGCCTTGATCGCAGTCTTCCCCTCAATTAAGATGTTTGTGACTACAGCAGCAGGTCTGCCGAGTGGAGACAGTGCTATCAGCAGTCATTCCCTCAGGATCTGGACCGCTCTTCTTGTCACACTTAATCAAGAAAGGTCTCATATTTTTGGCTCTTCCTTAAAGAAGAACGTTAACGTTAACCGTCTTGACCTCAAGTTATTACGAAAGCTTTGACAAATGCATTCTGGCAATAAGCAGCAACTCCAAGTGAGCATTTCACCCAAACCCACCCACTCGCTCAGCCTAGACCTCTGACCACAGACTCTTGTGAAAGTTCTCAGACAGTTATGGGGTGTAAGTGGGTAAATCCCCACTACATGGTCTGTGTCTTATTACCAGGCTGGATTCCTACTGACGTCTTTAGTTTTAGATTGCTGCAGCATGGAGCCATGTGTCTGTGAGTGCAGCCGGCCTCGGCGTTGCACGCCTCAAACTAAGCACCTCTCCCTTCTCCACCTCTCCCAGGAGACTCGCCATGGTACCGACCCAACAACACTGCTCAAGCCTGAGTTGTCAGCAGATATTGCACCCACAGCAGATTACGGGGGCGGGCTGGGGGATACAGGGCCTTTGTTTCAGTGTTATTTTACTGACTCAAGCTGCCTGGCTATGCCCTATTGTGCTGCTGACTGCATGAGCTGAGTCAGTTCACATGAGTTGTTGGAATGAATGGGGCAGACCTATGGGATACACAATAATATCCTGTTAGAGAAGCTTCTCAGTCACACAGGCTGAGTCTTCCCCATCCCTACAGGAAAGGGCCTGATATCAATCTCCAAACACAGAAGCTGAGACAGGAGCAGAGGATTAAACAGTGAAGCTTTGACAACACATCCTCTCAGGCAGAGTCTGTCCTCATGTCATCTTATCTCCCCTTTTATTTCTAACCAAGAACACATTCATGGTTCAGGATCAAATAGTTTTGTTCTCTTGATTTTTACTTTATGGTTTCTACAAGAGTCCCCACACGGTGCTTTTAGTAATAGAGGGAAAGCGTATAACCTTTTACCATTTCCTAATAATGTTGCTGAGGGCGATCATCTGGCCTCCTGAGTCGAAGTCAAGGCTGGTCGCATCATGTGAAAAGTACCCCGCCTCTCAGCCTCACACAAGCTGCTGGCATCGTCTCAAAGTGTCTCCTATTTGTTGTCATTGTTTTTCGTCTGCTGCTGCTGCTCTGCTTCTTGTTTATTAAGAGTCACATGTTCCCCGGAGAGCAACAACGCAGCAGGGCGGGCCGAAAACATGAATTGTGCGCAGTGTGTAAGTGAGACGGGCCGCGTAGCACAGGAGTCAGCAGGGACCTTGTGATGTGATGCTGTGGGGACAAGCCCAGCATTGAGACATTCTTTCACTTCAAAGCCCCCAGAGGGTTTTCAGGACACTGGTTGAATAGGAGTGGAGGGAGGGGTGCGCGGGGAGGAACAGGTGCAGTCCACGAGTGGGGTAATTCCCGCTGCCATCTGCTTTCTTTTTTGGGGTCTGGGCTCTTTAAATGCCCTCTGACACGCCTCATGGCGACACGCTCCCCTAGCCTGCCTCTCCATGCCCCGTCACCATGGCACCACGATTCAGGTTGACCCCTGCACATGTGCCGAGTCAACTGCGGGGGTCTGCCTCTATTGTGATTAAGCATGGGAGAGAAAGAGAGAGGGTGGAGGATGAGGGGGGAGGGAGAGCTGCGTGGATAAGGGTGTTAAAAGAACACCCGCCAGTCATTTACTTTTGTTCAAGAAGGCAGCAGAGGGAGTGAATAAAGCCATGTGGCTGGAAAAACAGAGGAAGAATGTGTGTCCTTAAAATGGTTCCATCTCATTTCGTTAATCCGATCTAACTGTGCTTACTACAACACAGGTAATTACAAAACTCAGAGAAGAAATCAAGAAGATGACGGCCATCGAGAGCAAAGAGGAGATCAGTGACACAGACAGTGGGATCATCCTGCACTCTGGTAAGGAAAAACGAAATAAAAATTCAATGATTGAACATTTTGTTAGTACAAGCTCCATTTGGAGATTTAATCAGTATGTCAATATCAAAACACAGCTCCTCTACTAATTGGTGTCCAGCTTGTCCTCAAACAGCAGTTAATACACAAACAGAATCAAACATTTTCATTAAAGAGCTCTTTATATTGGTAATTATTCTTTTATTATTCTGTTCTCAGCCCTTTCCAAGAACAACACTTGGAATAGAAGTATTGTTTCTAAATCACTTGGATGAACATATGTGCCAATTAAGATAAATCAGCTGCTCCAAGTGTTGATAATGAAAATGTATGGATGAACAGTGTCCAACAACAGCTCTTTAGTTTCACAACTTCAACATTCACATACAGTTCAGAAGATACTTTTGAAGCAAAAACTTTAAGTCATTACCTTAAAAGTGCATAAACAAATAAAAATAAAGAAAATAGTTGATTTTCAATGCAATCCCTCTAAGCGTTTTGACAAAAACGACAACACACAACCATATATTTTATGATCAGGAAAGTCTGAATTTGTCTTTGTTAAATGCAGGTCCAGACAGCCCCACGTCCCCGCTGAAGGACCTGAGCACCAACACCAGAGCCCTGAAGCTGAAGCACCAGTCTCTGGAGGAACGGCTGGAGCTCTGCCTGCTGGAGCTCCGGAAACTCTGCATCCGGGAGGCAGTAAGTGACCTCTGAACCACAAACAACCTGTTTGGTGTCCAAGGGACATTTTTGTGGGAATTATGGGAGCTCAAAAATAGTGAGTAGGAATTTCATTCTGTTGTAATCAGTCTTTCTGTTTTGTCTTCACAGGAACTTACAGGAACGCTACCGTCGGACTACCCTCTGATGCCCGATGAAAAGCCACCTCAGGTTCGAAGAAGGATTGGAGCTTCGTTTAAGCTCGACGCAGGCCTCATTAGTCAGGATCAGCAGGTATTGGCTCCATCTGTCTCCACTTAAGAGAGTCAATTAGCAGAACTAAACTAGTTTTCTTAAGCTAAAATGTTGCTGATATTTTTGTCTCTGTTCAAGGATTCAGAGCTGCAAGCGCTTGAAACTGACTTGGCTCTCCAGCGGCAGATCTGTGAGGCGGCCCGCAAGCTGTCCCTCGAGGGGAACCTCAGCAAACCACAGAAGAAGAGCAGGCTGCAGCAGTGCAAGAGGGAGGAGAAGAAAGTGAAGGAATTGCAGGAGGCCGTGCTCCAGCACAGGATCAAGAGTGAATGCAACTCCCCAATCATGCCCAGCCAAACAAAAGGTCAGACGCGCCGCCGCCCCCTTCAGGCTAGCCTAGGTCATAGAAAGAGTTTGATGCAAATGTTGACAAATGTGTGGCCTCTGTGCAGATCTGTGCATGTCTGACGACAGCTCCCTCTCTGATGTAGTGGCTCTGGATGACGGTGAGCTGGGTTTACCACCATACTCGTTCCTGCTTTAGGGTCTGTCCGAAAATAACCGGTTAATGCTTTCTCTGATCCACAGACGTGGACTCGCTGAGCCCCCTCTCACCTCCAGCGCTGGGCACCTCCGGTGCAGACCCTCTGCCTCTGCCTGACAAGAACCCGCCACCATGCCATCAGACCCCAGGCCAGCTCAGTGTGGAGTACGAGCGCTCCCCCATCCAGAACTCCCCATGGAAGGAGTCCAGCCTGGACCAACCTTACCAGAGGGCTACAAAACCTCAGTCAGCTTGCAGGAGCAGGTCCAGGTAGGACGCAGAAGTTTGATATCAACCCTTTAAATACACAGCTAAGCTGGAAAGTCAAAGACATTTTTCATTTGACATTAGGATGGGAAAGAAGCGTTGTTCATTGTGTTTATTTGCCGCTGTGTCATGATTTGCAGCAGTCCAACAGTAGAGCCATCGGTGCCCACAGAGAGCTGCAGGATTCCTCTCACTCAGTTTGTCAGGAACTCGGCTCTACGTAACAACCACTCAACCAGCGCCCCCTCAACCCCAGAGCTGCTGGTGCGCCGCCAGTACTCCCAGTCTTTCAGGTAAGCAGAGAAGTCACATCAGGGTGAAAGATGTGAACAACAACAGAGCACTATATGCACTATTATCTTATTATTTACTGAATGTGTCTCCTCAGACTTCCCAAAAAGAAGCTGTTTGTGAACATGGAGCGCCTGAGCTCTGAAACCACTCGTGGGCGACCGAGCTTGCCTCATCAGAGATGCATTGTGGATTTCATAGCCCGTTCTCCAGAGTACTCTCCTCTGCCCCCTTACCAGTCCAGCTCAGAGGACAGTAGCTCAGAGCACTCGTCTTCATCTCAGATCAGCTCTCCGGGAAGAGATGGACCCACTGAGATTCCTAAACTCTCCCCTCCACCCTATGGATTTCACTTTGGAGCACAGAAAAGAGGGCCCTCCAACCTCCCCACCCCACTCAACAACAGCAGCCAGGCTCAGCCCGGCTCCGATCATGTCAGGCCCACAGCAGAGGACGGCCCCCTCTCCCCACAGGATCCGAACATTGGAAAGTGCTTCCTGTCCACCCCTCCTGTGAGCCGCAGCCAGCAGAGAGGAACATCCTCTATGAGGAGCGTCCTAAAACCGCCCCCTCCTTACTCCAGGCTTGTGCGGACCCCCTCGCTGAAAGAATACCCAAACCATGCGGTCAGGCTGTTGCCCCGGGACATCGTGTCTGAAGAGCTGAAGTCCTGGCATCAGAGGAACCAGCTGCAGAAGCTGTGGTCCAACTGCGTGGAGCAGCAGAGCTCGCCGGGAGCCCTGAGCCCCACCTCCTCTCACCTGCCTCCATTCAACCAGGTTGGTAACGGCCTGGGCGCCGCTTCAGACTCTCATTTAGTCAGACTTTGGGTTATTCCCTGTGTTAAATAGATGCTCATTATGAAGACTCTCTGCCTCGGCAGGGAGGAAAATATTAAAGCTTTAAAAAAGGCCCTCATTGAGTCTTGGATGCAGCATGTACTAACCCTAACCCTGCTTCGATCTAACGCTGTGATGGAAAAAGCAAACTGCAGGCCTTTTATTTCTCAGCTGCTCTTTTGGTCGACTAATGATCAAATAATTGCACCTCTAACTTGTGTATATCCCAGAATACCACTGATGTGACGGCATTTTCCGCAGGGTTCGGGTAACGTGATCCTCCAGAGAGCTGCCGACGGGACCCCGCTCCAGTGGTTTGTGGCTGAGGATGAGGAAATCGTGAGCCAGGTGTAACGCGCTCCCAGTACTTGTGGACATCTCTGTTCATTAATTTATCTCTGTATTTATTAAGACTCTGGACTCTCTGTGAGATCATTTGTCGACAGAATGCGGAAAACGTGGACCTACCAGTACCGGTATCGGTAATTAATTTAAATCTTAACCTAAGGTGGTATGCCAGTGTTATTTATTTTAGGTTGCCTCACGATAGATTGTAGGTGCATTTAGGTTTATTTATATATCATAAAGGGGTTAAGTTGACCATAAACATGCTGTAGTTCCACAGTTTCTTTGTGGCTGGTACACATTTTGCACACAACAGTCACCTGCAGTAGCTGTTGTCAGTCCTCCTTTCTTAATATGATTTCTACCCATATTTATTATTTAAAGTTTCTCCCAACATTGACCCATCACTACATTTTTTTAATACATCCTTAACACGTGTAGCTTATTCTATATATGTATCTAGAGAGAGAGGCTAACGATAACATTTTCCCTTTACTGCCAATGTTTAATTACTGCTGCTTTTAACGGTAGTTTGATGAATGTTTTCAATGCAGTATGCTGTTGTCTTACTAATGACTTGATTGTATAAGTTTCATATGTTTTTGTATATTTATAATAAATAATATAACCAATGATGGCCTGTTTTGAATTTGTATCTTGAGGCTCTAGAGGGAAAAATCCCACCAGCTGAAGGTATTTCATCAAAATGTTTAATATTTACACACAAAAAGCCTCACGGGCACACACGCTCGTCATTCACAGCATTTGTAACGTCATTCTCATAAGGTGCCGGCAGCAGTGGGTCGTCCCGTTCACCACAAGAGGTAAGTCAGCGTCACCACCAAACACAGGAGCACCAGCAGGTTTGTGCAGACGCGCGTCCACCGGCAGCGATACGGCCTGAGGGCCAGAGGAGGCTGCCTGCCCGGGGCCGCGTACCTGAACAGAGCCCCCGGTCAAGAAATCACAGGAAACCCCCACAATCGGCATTACACCATACTAACACAAACACACGACGCATGTTCACTCACGTGCCGATGGAGGTTTGCCTTTGGATGTTGGCTGCCCTTCTTTCTTTTCCTTTGTTGGACAGAGCCGCTTTGCCTTTGTGCCTCTGCCGTAGCGTGTCCAGAGAGAGGCTGCAAAGAAGCCACAAAGAGCCGAGCTTTTCAAAGCCGCAACATCCCAAATCTTTCACTGTCTGAGGACGGAAGCGTCAGCAGATGGATCATCAACACAGGCTGCTCCGTACTTTCTGTTTTGCGTCTTTTCGGGGGTCTCCCGCTCCGGCGGCGGGGGGCAGTCGGGACTGGGGATGGGAGAAGGCTCGGGCAGAGGCTGAGCAGCTGAAGCTTCTGCTGGATGGAGGCTGAGAGGCCTGAAACAAAAGCACATGAATGCAAAACGCCGCCATAAAGTGCCTTTACAAAGCGTGAACTCTGGGCCTCCGGCTGACCCGTCGTCCAGGGAGCAGCTGCACTCGGCGCTCAGGGAGCGGGACAGGCACTGGGACGACTGCCTCTTGCTGACGGCGGCCTTCTTCTTCGGGTCTCGCTTCTTCTTCTCCTGTGAGGGATGGAGGAGAGAGGGAGATCGGTGATGGGTGACGGGAGCAGGAGAGTTCACCGATGACACCATCCCACCTGAATCTGAGTGGTAATGACTGACGCGCTGATTCTCCGCCGTAAGATGCTCTGATGGGGAAAAAAAAAAGGCAGATACTAAACCAAAGCAAAGGGAGGGAGAGAGGACTTTGATTGCATGAATGAAACTAAATCTTCATACAGTGGGAGGATGTATCCTCTTGTCACTTCCCTCTCCGTCTGCGGCAAAAAAAAAAGAAAAGCCCAGTTTCATTTTCTTCCGTCACAGCAGGACACAACGAACAGGATGAAGCCCGTGAAACTATCATAAACCTGGGAGGACGGTGGGCAGGACGCTGCCTCGGTAGGCGTGCTGCTGATGCTGCTGCTGCACCATCTTTTTGATGTCCTCCAGCTCTGCTACATTTCGGTCGTGACGCCTCCTCAGACCCTCCACGTGAGCCACCATGAGCTCCACTGCCCGGCTCACGCGAGCCTCCTTAAGGTGGGATGTCAGGAAAACAGAGATTTCCAGCACCAACGAGCAGCAAAGACCACCAGCAATAAATAGGAACTGCTTTCAAAACAAACCTTAACCGTCTGAAAGCTAATCTGATTTATTCCGATCACTCTTCTCTGTTATCTTATTGCTCTTCTCCTTCAGCTAATGGGCAGTAGGGAACCTGTTTTCTCATAAGCTAGAGGCAAAATGGCCTTTGGCTACCTGGTGCACGGCACCCAGCACCTCCGCCGTGTTGGAGATCCGCTCCACCGTCCCACAGAGGATGTCCAGACACAACTCCAGCCTCTGGAGGACGTGACTGCGCTTACTGTCCAAACACAGGCCCTTCAGAGTCTGAAAACACATCAGGTCAGACATTCACTGGCTCTTCCGTGGCCTCTCGAAGACTTGGGACCAGTTGCACACAGTGTTTTGTTTCAGATTCATCTTTAAAATCGACACCACACGTGTGTAACCGAGTCCAGTTAGCATCATGGGGGCACACACAGCTGATGGTGTGTGTCAGAGTGAAAAGGCAAGGCTAGAAAAATCCCAAGAAAACTTCCCCCTGCCAGTGTTTTGAGAGGCACTCCTTTAAGTATTTACATCTGTGAGCTGATTTTTCAGATGAAATTGGTTTAAGATCAGTCTGCGGAGCAGAGTTTTCAAATCTGCAGTGACCGTACCTCCAGCGTCTCTCTGCCCCTGGTCAGCTCCAGCTGGATGTTCTCCTCGGCCAGGTTTCGGGCGTGCTCCTCGGCCTGCAGCCTCTGCTTCAGGGTGTACTGGTCACAGCGGAAGGCCAGAGCGATCTGAGAGAAGGCTATCTGGGAAATACAATTTAGAAAAACTGGTTAGCTGCACACAGCTTTTCCCCACTGACTGCCCAGGTTTAGGGACTAGAGTTACAACTACGGTCCTAAAGACAGATGGTGTTTCATTCAACTCAACTTTTTTTGTGATCTAAAATGTAGAAAAGACCCTATTTTGGATCATGCGCTCATCAACATTGTACGGTGAGGTCATGGAAAAGAGGGAGGAATGTAGCAGGAGTGAGCAGACTCACCTCCAAATCCTCCTCTGACATCTCCACGCTGTCAGAAAACCAGTAGTTTAAAGTTTAATAAAACATCTGATTCAGAGACGGGACTGTGCTCGGCTGTGGTGTGCTGCACCTGTTGAGGCCCACGCGATCTATGATGGACAGGTCGCTCCAGCTGGTGACCGGCGGCTCCTCCTCACTGGTATCTGTGGGATATTTCAACCAAGTTTGAAGACAGAGACCTGGAAAGTCTGGACTGATTTGTACGATCCCCTCCTGGGCCGTTACCATCGTCGCTGTCATCGCCGTCCAGCTTGGCGGGCAGGTCGCAGCTGCTTGACCCTCCATCAGGTGGAAATCCCTTTAGAAAACAGCATGGAAGCGTTGAGGCAGGCCGGTTAAAGGGATGCAGGGGCTGGGCAGATGGTTTGACTCACCTCAGCGCTCATTAGGGCATCTCCCACAGTGCACATCAGAACTATCCCAAATGTTTTTAATCAGATGGCTGACCTAGTCCACATCTGAGGTTTTCAACACAGCCGAAGTACGCTGAGAGTTCTCCCAGACCTCCTTTGCTTTATTCCGCCCTCTGTCTTTCCCCTGTCCCGAGAATAGATAATCCTATTAAGAGATCCACAGTCAAACCAGAGCAAGACGACTGACCCAAGAGGCTCATGGGAAGCTGTGTTCGCTTTGGGGTTGTTGTAGTCTGTGTTATTCCGTTGGGTATAACACATTTGACAGGGATTTTAAAAGTATATCACAACACTTTTCAACTATTCGGTTTGGGTGCGTTCAAAAAGGCGACTTTTTCATTGTTACCCACCCTAAAATACGCTTGCACAAAGAATACGTCAAAACACCTCATGACTGGGTGAGTCCTGAGCCTGAGACCTGGGCATGGATTAAGCAAAAATGCTTTACATCAGCTCCCCTCTCTTTGGAGCTTTATGTGTACAACACATGAACCTGAAGGCTCTTATAGGATTTAAGCCAAACTTTTTACATTTGGGGACTCCACACAGACATTTCTTAGAAATTAAAATGCAATGCAAATTTATAGAAGTCAATTCATACTAGGTTTCTACACACACACATATATAAATGTATATAAATATAGTTTATCAATTCATAAAGCTTTGAAAAGTCAATCTGACCCCAAAATAAAATCACTTGGACAAGCAAAGGCTTTGGAGCATCTCCACTTTTATTCATAGAAAAGCTGTATTTAATAGAGGCGCTGGGGTTTGCCCATGGTGGTCTTGATGTAGAGAGCACGCACGTTCTGCCAGTTCTTCTTCAGCAGGGACACCAGGAAGTTGACAGCCAAGTGGATGTTGTAAACGAGCTCATCCTCTGTCATCTTCACGTGTCCAACAGCCACAGCCAGACAGAGCACCTAATAAATCAAAGAAAATCATATCATTACTGATGAGTGAAGACTCCAAAGTGACCAAATGCCAATTGTAGAAAACATTTTTTCCAATCCAAATACTATTCAACACACCTTCTTCATCTGGAATTTGATGGTGGATTTAACCTCGTCCACCTTCGTGTTCAGGTTCTCGTTGTGGGTGAGCAGGGAGGGGAACTTGCCGGCCTTGTTCAGTCCAGGACCCAGGATACGAGGGATCTGCTTGATCAGAGACTCGGAGGCCAGGAAGGCATCGTACTTCTTGGCTGCATATAAACAGAAGATATTCTGGTTAATGCACGCCACTCGTCTGTAGTGATCTACTTTTTTTAAGGCCATGCCGGGAACTCCTTACCGAGTTTCTTGACAAGCTTTTTGTTCTTGTTTAGCTTCTTCAGAGCCTCGATGTCCATGTGGGGAAGCTCGGCAGCTTTGGCTTCGTCGCAATGCTGCTGGTCTCCCAGGACACACACAGAGAACTTAGGCCTGGGCAGAGTCTTCAGCCTGTGCGTATTACAGCGTAGAAACACATATACAGGGATCATGAGGCCAATTAGGCAGGGAATGACCAGTATGTATTAGCATCACTTTTCAGTTTTTGGGTCGTAACACTAGAATAATCACCCTTACTGCACAAACTATGTCAGCATAAACGTCACTCAGATGTAAATATGACACCTTCTTGTATTTGCTGTGTAACAAGAGAAATCTCTTACCCACACCAGTACAGCGGCCGGAGTCCGGCTGACCTCTCCGGTAATATAAAGTAAACCTGGTCGGCTTGAGGACATGAACCTACCGGTTCAGACACTCAAAGCCTCCCCTCATGTTTTAAGACCCAGGGTGGGGGTCCGCCTGCTTCACCGTCACCCGCCGAGGCAGAGTGGGCTCAGTCAGACTACCCAGAGTACTTCTCCATGCCTGTCCCTGCCCCATCTGGATTCTGATTTTATACCTTTGAGTCGTCACACTAAGGACAATTTGGTCTTCAGACAGGGCTGGGAGCAAACGCGGAAAAGGGTGGGTGGTACGGTAAAAGGTCGAACCTGACAGTGCCGGAGAAACGCTTGTCCTTCTGGGGATCATAGTTTTTGAGGCTGATCTGCAGCTCCACACTCTCCACAAACCTGAAAATAGGAAAAATATTAAAAATGGAGTCCCAAATTGTCTTTCAATAGGCAATTCTTGATCAGGGTGAAGTCTGGTGTCACATGCACATACTTCCTTGGCTTGGTCAAAGAGCCTTGCAGAACCTCCTTCACCGCTTCGTACAACGTATCCCTGGAGACCTTACTACATAGAACAGACAAAATAGCTGTTAAGTTGAATCTATTCACCATTACATCCTCGTCATTGGTGCTTAGCTGCAATACCGCTGAAAACTGTAAATCGGTCACTATGTACTAAAAATTTCAGGTCAATTTAATCTAAAACAAGTCATTTAACAATCATATCCTTTTTAATTGATGATGTTTTGGACTTAAATGTGTGGATGGAGGGGGATGAAGTCCAGAGGAAAAGACAAGCTACCCTGCTGTAACACCGGCTACTAACGCATGTGTCATCTAACCTACGACAAATTCCGAAATAGGCAAGTAGCAACAAAACCACACAGTGTTAACATTGCACTTGTTTAAAAGACTCGTACGACTATGTTCTGTCCTGTGAAGTTCGTGTTTTATCACATTTAATGACATAACATGGTCTAACCTCATTTTAGCGGCTCGCTCCTCTCGTCGCGCTACGGTGAAAAAGGAAGTTCTACCGGAAGTTACGCCAGTTAAAGGCGCGTATTGCAACGTCATCAAAAAGGGCTTATTTTCAATTCAACTTTATTTAAAAAGTGGAACACTAGAAAGGCAGTATTCAAGACCATAATACATATGAAAATATAAATTTAATAATTCAAACAGGTGTAAAATTGGCCTTTTAATAGGCACGTAAAAAGAAACAAAATTTTGACTGCTATATTTGATAGATTTGACGAATTTGAATGAATAGCTCTTCAATAGATCTTCACTTAAAACTAGAAATGCAATTTTTCCATAATTACTTTAATAATAGATTCAATATGTCATGCAAGTGCGTCAGTATAGCATAGGATGTAAGCAGAATATTCTAACTTCGGAGTAGGTCCAGCATCACAGAAGAGGTATTAGCGGATAATATCACCCGTCATACTCGTATTACAGAAGGAATACTTTTGAATTTTTATATCTTGAATGATTACAGTGGGACAAAGGTATCCACATTTCTTTGTTATCCACCACAAACTTTTATTTAAACATTCCATTCAAGAAAATGCACTGTTAATTTATACAATATACATGTGTAGAACTTATGTAGAACTTCTGCCTCTTAAAAATTACACTTAACCACCTGGTCAAACTTTCCTGACTCAAATCCAGATGAAATATGATAGCTTGGAATTTTAAATGAAAACATAGCACCAGTCTAGCTAAATCAGTGTGATTGCTGCACTTCTGATGGATGCATGCGTTTCTTTTTCAACAGGTTTATTAACATGGAACAATTCAAATAATGCATCATGTGTGCGCAATTCGTTTCAGAGCAGCTTGCAGAGATTTCTTCAGGAATGTCTCATTTGAGCTCAGGCAGTTGGTCAAGGACTGTTTATGTACATCGGTCACCTGGGGAAAAATATCCATTCACTAGTAGAATTATTGCGAATGCTATTTAATCCACAGGCCAGCCATCTTTCATTAAATAACTTCACAAACTTACATAGTAGCTGTATTTGCCAAGAACAGTGAGCATCATCTTTGCAAACTTCACTGACTTGTTGAACTGAGGACCCTGGTTGACAAGCTCTTCTATAAACTGTGTGAAAATGTCCTCATTCAAATCAGGCTGAAAATAAAGATTAAAAAAAACAAAAGAGTGAGCAACATATTTAAATCAACATGTAAGAATTTCTCATGAATAAACAGCTTATTACCTTGGAGTTGAGCAAGCTGTGGATCACAGAGAGCACTGCTTCACTCCATGTAATTCTGAATGTCATTCTGAAAAATACAATTCAATTAAATAAAAAATAAAAGCGAATGAGTGATCATTTTGGGACTGCTTGAACTGAACAAAATATTGAGAAAATTAATCTTACTGAAACACGAGCAGTTTGTAGTGGGGATCTAGGCAGCCCTCTATCAGTCTGTTCAGCAACTCTGCTTGCGGGAGCCCTAAAAACCATCCAAACATGAACTATAAATCATCTGTCATTAAAAAAATCTACACCAGGATTAGGAGGCTGCTTAAATCCCCCTGAAACACACAGTCCACACCTCATCTCTCCATTTGCATCAATTATCAAAGGTCCTTATGTCTCCCATCAGAAGGCTTGCAATGTGCAGATCTGCCTCCCTGCTTTTGCTGCCCACCAATAACTATTTACCAAACTCAGTGTAAGCTGTAACTCACCCATGTCCTTCTCCTCCAGCATTGGGCCGATGACGGCGTGGCACATGGGTCTGGGATAGTGGCTACACAGTGATGTCACAGCTGTCATCAGACATCTGGAGGCCGGTTCTGACAGGGACAGGGCCTGTGAACCATTGACAGCATGCAGTCAGTCCTCCAACCCTGTTATTCTGTCCACGTCCTTTGTATAAAAAAACAAATCATAAAACACTGTTGCACCTTCTGCAGCAGGAGGCTCTTGATGAGGGATGCCGCTGTGCTGTGGCTCAGGTCAGGGCTCAGCGACAGAACGCTGTTGCACAGTTTTATCAGAGCGGGTTCCGGTAAGTCCGACAGTCGCAGCGTGACGCATAACAGCTCCACCTTATGGGTCAGACAACACCGTGAGAACCTTTCCTCCCTGGTTAAAAGGATCCTTTTCCGGTCACATGCATTTTTATTGGGGAAAAAAAAACAAACAAACACGAAAGACTTCCTTTTCTATCTGAGGCCTACTGATATTGCCATTGCCTCTGACTATTTTATTGCTTTTTATAGTTTCTTTTAATATATTATTGTGTATCTCTATGGTGTCCTTGTGTGCTGAGATAGACGCCTTCAAATAAAATGTAATATTATTATTATTACTTCACAACAGCTCCTTCACTCTCAGGTCTACCAGCACAGTGAAGGACATATGACTTCAGAGAAACCATTTGTGTAGCTGCATCACACTGAAATATTAACAGAACGGAACCACTGTGAGGACATACTTGGGGGGGATCACAGTCATTCAAGACTTTGAACACATCGGAGGAGTTTTGGTCCCACTGGAATAAAAAAAAAAAAGTACAGAGAATTATATGGGTACCAAGTGTCCCATCCGGATGACCTGTGCTCGTTATGAGAAAGAAAAGGTCGCTCTCACCTCCGCTTGATTTTCTAGTAATTCTTTAATTTGAAGAACAGAAGCCTGATGGAACACAAAAGGAATAGGTCAGGTCCGTTATATGCTCTTGGATGTAAATTCGGGAAACAGTGAGAACAGTTTGTTTACCTGCATGTGCACGGGGAGGACATCGCGCTGACTTTCTGGTGCGGACGTTTCTGCTGAGGCAGCGCTTTCAGGCGGCCCTGCCGTTAGGTTTGTAACGCCATCTTCGTCTGAATCCACAATGACGACATCAGGGTTGTTCAACTTCATCCATTTCCTCTGCTGTCCCGTTTCCTCAGAGTCTGAGTCCAGATGAACTAAACCGGCGCTCCTCTTCCTCTGCGTCCCCCACTCAGATAAATCGGGCTCACCCTGGGATTCAGAGACCACCGTTTGTCCGCTAAAGCAGCTGGCCCACCCCCCAGCCTCACTGAAACCAGCCAAACGTTCCGATATCTCCTTTAGCCTCCGGCTGCATGGTTTGGTGCACAGAGGCTGGTCTTTGGAGAGGTGGGGCGCCACGTTTCTCTCCAGCTGTCCACACAGAGCCGTGACCCAGGGGTTCGGACGGGAGTCCTGGCGGAGGCATTTGAGCAGCCGGAGGACGGTGGTCCCCGGAAGAAGAGGGTGCAGCGCATGGAGGAAGGTCAGAAGATTCTGTTTGAATGATGCTGAAAACAGGCACACGAGAGGTTTCCTGGGAGAGGTCAAAAGCAAAACAAAAAATGTGTGAGAACCTGGAATTATCAGGAAAAACAACTTTTTCTTTGAAAGAAACACCTAAAAGGTTTAGCATTTTGACAGAAAAATGATAATTCCATGGTCGTAGCAGACATCAGTGGGTTTGTTGTCATCAATAAATTTATTGTCGTCAATCTATGCTTCAAACTGTCTCGAATGTTTAATGGAAAATTTTTGGTGTAAATTATTTTAATATGACTAAATATTAAAAATTCTTCTTGGGAACAGGCAAAATTACAAAGATTCAGAAGTATGAACCACCTAAGAGAAAATCTGAACTAGCTCATTGTGATGCAAGTAGAGAACATTTTAAAAATTGCAATTTGTTTTGGGTAAAATCAAGTTGGTGTTCCTACAAAAATAACCCCATTAATGTTAAGGAATGGAACTTTTTCTAATGTAAGAGTTTAAAATTTCACCTAGGTGTTCTTCACAACACTGATTGACACGTTCATGTCAGTGATGGTTTTAGGACCTCATCCACGTTTTCCATTATACTGTTGTGCTCTTTAAGTCAGCTCGGAGCTGTTTCAGAGGATCAAATGTCTACATTTCCAGATTCACTCCACCTCTGCGGCATCGGGCTGAAGTGTACTCACACCGTCAGCGGCTCAGATCCGGAGTCCGGACCGCTGATCTCGTCTCGGCACAGCGTTTCTATGAAGCTAGGGAGTGAGGTGTCCGGGTTAGCCTGCTGCTGTCTGTGGAAGACCGATAGCGCCCGGAGGCTGCCCGGGCCCCCCGGAGCCGCCAGGGCCCGGAGCAGCAGCAGCCAGGCCCCGTCAAACCCAGCCCAAACCGCCCCGGGGGCACAGCCGGGCAAAGGACACAGCGGAGCAGCCCTGCGAGCCATGAAGACACGCTCCGTGTTCCGCCCGCCACTTGTTTACATCTCTTCGTCGGTGGTTGCCTTCAAGACGAACCAATTTATGCCTACCTATCGCCCCCTACCGCCCAGGAGAGGACACAGCATAGGAGGGAACAGAAAAAAAAACAAAAAGCGACCGTAAGCTTCTTTTGGTTAGCCTTTCTGATTTTGCAAAAAAAAATAGTCTCTTATTTTGTACCAAAGAAATAAAATCATTGGGCATTTCGTTAGAGAACGTCCAGATAGTTCCAAGGTTTTTCAATTCCAAGTTCATCCAACCTAAACAACCAATGAAGAAGTTTCTCACCAAGGAAACGAAACTAGTCCATTGCATCAAATACCAGAAGAAAAAGCACAACACAGCCGTTTAGTGAGAGAGAGTGCAGCGTTTTTATTTTTTGTGTACAAGTCATTTAAAAGAAATAAAATCTTACCATTTTATATTTTTGCCCAAAAACAACTAGTGGGAAGAAAGAAAAAAAAAAGTCATAACAATGTCTTCAGGCAGTTATCACAAGTGTTGAACATTAGCAAGTAGTAACAGGTTAAGTACACTTTTTACCTTCAGGCGATTAAAAGCACCATCCACACAACAGTTTTAAAAATATCAAAATGTCAACACGAGGACACATGCACAATATGACCATGCACTAAATCTGAGGAGGTTAAGGTGAAGAAAACATGTTTGAAACGTCCAGTAGTGGTAGGTACAATAAACCCAAACTGGAAGGAATCCCAACAAGATCAGATGGGGGCTGCATTCCTAAATTTAATTTCAATAGAAAACCATGTTTTAAAGAGTCAAAGATTAACATTCATTTCCAACTATACTAGAGCTCTTATCTTTTTTTTTTTTTAAACATTCCATTTCTTTCTGGTTCCAATAGCAGGGTAATCAAATATTCCTCACTTTAGAGCGTGGGCAACATTCCTGATCTCAATAGAGGGCTAGATTCCAAGAGGACAGAAGCACAGCTACGTGTTCATGTGGGGACCGTTTCAAGCAATGAAAGAATGAAGAGCCTCAGACACCCAACTCCTCAGTTAGATAAAAGGGAAAATCCTCATCATCAGTGTCGTCATCACCACCAAGAAGGGTCATGGTTATGAAAAAACTAAGCAGATCTAGGCCATCATCATCTTCATCATCTGAGAAATACTGAGGAAAACAGGGAAATAACATCAACATGTGCATGACGATGACCTGTAGCACCACTGAGCCGTTGCTGTGAACTTACCGGAAACGCTGTATTGTGATTCGAGTGTCTTACATGTCGATA